GCCACTTTGACGGTGCCAAACAGCAGGAGGTGGATGGGCTGGCTGTTGCAAGAGGGACGGGTGATTGCAGGGTGGGCGAGCTCAGATCCTGTTTCTCCTGCTGCTTGGGGGCTCTGGGAGCTGCAGTTTCCCCACGGATGGTAAAATGGCAATTTGTGGATGCCGAAATCCAGCCTCGCCTGAGCTCTGCGAGTGCAGCTTTCTCCCAATTGAAGTGCAGAGTGTTTGAGGACCGGGACATTCGCAGGGAAACCAAAATGGTAGTTTACAAAGCTATTGTACTACCAACCTTACTATATGCTTGTGAAACATGGGCCACTTATAAACACCATTTCCAACTCCTCGAAAGATTCCATCAACGGCGTCTCTGAAAAAGTTTACACATCACTTGGGAAGACAGGCAAAATAATGCCAGTGTACTGGAAGAAGCAAAGATCATCAGTGTCAAAGCAACAATTCTTTAACATCAACTTTGTTGGACTGGTCATGTTGTTCGGATGCCTGAGTATCATCTTCCAAAGCAACTGCTCTATTCCAAACTTAAAAATGGAAAGCGTAATGCTGGTGGTCAACAAAAGAGGTTCAAAGACTCTCTCAATGCAAATGTAAAAAAATGTAGTATAAACACCGGCAACTGGAAAACACTGGCCTGAGAACAGTCGTGGGCTTTGAAGACACTCAAACTCAGGACGAAAGGGAGAAATGCGCTAAGAGGAAGGCATATTTAGTAAACCCTCATCATGATTAACTTCCACCCAGAAACTTGTCCCCACTGTGGAAGGACATGTGGATCCAGAATTGGTCTCCACAGTCATTTATGGACTCACGGTTAAGACAACCTTACTCAACTACGAGGGATCGCCAAAGAAGTAGAAAATGGCAAATGCAATTCCGTGTGTTTCAAGCGATGCAAGTTTGGGCAGTTTCTGTTTCTCAAATTCACATATGCGCTCATGGGGCTTGAACCGGGGGTGACGGAGCGGGAACGAGACCTTGGGGTCGTAGCAGGCAGCTCAAGGAAGATGTTGACCCAGTGTGTGGCGGCCGTGAAAAAGGCAAATTGCATGCTAGGGATCATTGAAGATAAAACTGCTGACATCGCAATGTCATCATACAACAAATTCGTGTTGCAACTGCATTTGAAATGCCATGTGCAGTTTTACTTGCGTCACTTGAAAAAGGATATTGTAGAGTTGGAAAAGGTTCAGAAAAAGGCAAGCAGAATGATCCAGGGGGGGTAGAGAGACTCCCCTGTGAAGAAAAGTTGCAGCATTTGGCATGGAGAGAGAAATGTGTTTTTTCCTCCTTCCTAACTCTAGAACTAAAGGTAAAGGGACCCCTGACCATTAGGTCCAATCGTGGCTGACTCTGGGGTTGCGGCGCTCATCTCGCTTTATTGGCCGAGGGAGCCGGCGTACAGCTTCCGGGTCACGTGGCCAGCATGACTAAGCCGCTTCTGGCAAAGCAGAGCAGCGCACGGAAACACTGTTTACCTTCCCACCAGAGTGGTACCTATTTATCTACTTGCACTTTGATGTGCTTTTGAACTGGTAGGTTGGCAGGAGCAGGGACTGAGCACTGGGAGCTCACCCCGTCGTGGGGATTCGAACCGCTGACCTTCTGATCAGCAAGCCCTAGGCTCTGTGGTTTAACCCACAGCACCACCCATGTCCAAACTCTGGAACTAGTGGATATCCAGTGAAGCTGAAGGTTGGAAGATTCGGGACAGAGAAAAGAAAGTGTTTATTTATGCAGCGCATAGTTAAACTATGGAACTATGGCTCTGCTCCCACCATGTGAGCCACTGTGAGAACAGAATGCTGGGCTAGATGGGTCCCCATTGGCCTGATCCTGCAGGCTGTTTTTATGTTCATATGTTCAGGAGGCCTATCACACTCAGATCCTTGAGTGTTTTTTGGGGAAGCTGCCATCATTCCACCCTTGGCGATGCAGCTGCAGTTTTGGATAATATCGCATGGCGGGAAGTACGCCCCTGCCAGTGCGCATTCTGCGCAGTAGGCTTCGTGCAGGGGGGGGGGCCCTATAAAGGCTGGGGGTGACGCGAATTTTATGCTGGGGGAGGTACAAAAACCGACCACTCCCGGATTCTGCTAGCGATTGAGCCAGACATGAACTTACGACGCTCTTCAGTGTAAATAGTTTGCACCAAGAATAAAGCCTGGAAAAGACAGGTCGGAGTCTTGCTTGTTCACTCTTGAGCAATCACACCAGTAGCTGACACCTTCCTTGCAAGGTTGTTGTGAAGGCTACAGAGATGATGTGTTTGCTTCACTGTCCGTCTTCTCTGTGATGGGGAGGAGCATGGAAGCAGCCAGGCACTGCCCATACCCGGGGGCCTGAGGTTCGTAGCTGCTGTTTGCTATGAAGGACTAGAATGTTCCCAGCGTGAAATCTCTTGGGAAGCGGGAGTCTGGTCACCAATGATGCATTTCTTGTCTTCCCAGAGGCTGGTCCTTCCTGGGGTGTGGAATAGTGCAAATGTCGAAGCCCACTGCCCCATTGCCACTGATGCTGTAGCCACACTGCCCCTGTGCCATGGAAACTCAGGTTGCTGGTTTGTGGGATCAGGGCCCCCTTGCTCCCCATGAAGCGAGAAAGGGCCTTGTCCATGTGATTTCTTTATAATCAGCTGAGGAAGTTGTTCTGTGACCAAATTCGCCTGGTGTGATGAGTATTCTTAGCGCTCCCTGCCTTGTGATGTGTCTTTCAGAGTCCAGGGCACCAGGGTGATATTATTTATATCTGAATTTCATCCTGAAAGCCCATTTTTACACTTCAGTGTCATGCTCTCTTTTGTATTCTGTTTGAATTCGCTGTTGCACAAATCAGCTGAAGCTCTTAAGCGCTTCCAAATCTCCTTCGAGTCTCAGTTGCCACCCAGCCTGAATAAATTTGCACAGCGGGACCTTTGAATGGGGTAGATTGGATTTGCTTCGCCCAATTGCAGCCACCCGTCAGTGAGAGACTTTTTTTTTTGAGGGGGTGTCAAATGCAGCTCTGTGAAGTCTTGAGATGGGACTGCCTCCCATCCCCCCACAGAACTTGGCCTTCAAAGGTTCCTGATGGCCGTACCAGAGATTATCTGGATATTCTGGTGTATAATTAATGGCACAAGTGAGGTGTGGGGGGGAACGTGGGGGCAGAGCTGGCCTCTTTGAAGGACGAGGTATGCCAACACAATCCGATGTCTATTTGCTCAGGAATAAACCCCATGAAGTTTACTAAGTGATTTTAGGAATGCAGCCTTACTGTGGCTGGAGAGAGAGACTCTTGTGGATTAGAGGCTGATTTGTGGGGTGCTGCCATTGGCAAGGTCACACTTTTCTGCAAGTGGCATGACATTTGTAGGCACTTTGCATTTCCCCCAGTCTCAGGCCTGGGAACCTCTTTCCCCTCATCTGTCTGAACTTTGGAAGGCCAGAAGCTGGGGTGGGGACCATCCTGCCTGCAACTTTCCTGCGAGGGTTGGACTAGATGGGGGTACCTTCCTGTGAAAACAGGAACGCAACCGATGGCTTCGGCCAACAAAGGTTGGCCCCCTTGGTCATCTTGATGACAGGCTTTCTAAGCAAGGGTCCGAGCACCTTTCTGTTTGTGCTGCCCGGGAAAACCCATTCTTTAGCACGGAATTTCAGCAAATCCGATTGACGTTTGTTCTGATTCAGCACCAAAGAGCGGGTTTTCCTGGAGGAAAGCGGTGGCACAAGCCAAAGTCTGGATGAGACATGGCCAGCTGAATAAAGGATGGCCTCCAAGTGCCACCAGACTGGCTTTCATTGTGAGAACGCAATCGATAACATGCAACTCTCAGGAAAAGAAATCAAAGGAAATCTAACTGTATGCTGATGTATGAATACTGGAAAAGGGGAATAATCAGTAAGGCTGTTGTGGGTTGTGGGGGCAAAACAGTTTGCAGAAGTTCTGCCTTAATAATGTATCTGGTGGTCTTCCAGGTCCCACCAAAGGACAAATGCCAACTCCTTCCAAAAAAAGGTCTAAGCTTTCTCATTTGAAAAAATGAAGAAAAAATGAATGAAAAAGAATAAATAGTGGTGCAATTGACTTCCAACAAGCACACAGAGTGCGAACAAGACTGAGTGTATGGGGGGGGAGGGGGCTTGTTTAATTTCACTGCACGCAGGTGGTGTATTGACAATAAAGCTTTTATTTATTTATTTATTTATTTATTTATTTATTTATTTATTTATATCTATTTTGTTAAGAGCATCCATGCTTCTGGTGGACAAGGGGCGCCCTCTGCTGGAAGATCCACACAATGGCGCCTGGTAGTGTTTTGGTTACCTCTCCCCATTGCTCATCATTCAAATGACAGATCCGTCTCCATGCTCTCCCTGCGCTCATGGCCCCTGGTTCCTAGAACAGCCCAGCATGAGCACCAAGTGGAGCAGTCCAGCTTCCCCAGAGCTGGATTTCATGGTGTCGTGCCTAAGAATTGAAGGCAGAGGAGAGCAACTTGGAGAACAATTTGCCGAATAGAGTTGGGGCGAGAAAGCAACCCTGTTTCACACGGCTCTTTATAGGGAAGGCATCTGAGGATGAGCTGCCGTACTGGACAGTGCCATGCATGCTCTCGTGGAAGGGACACAATTATCTTGGTGCAACCATAGCAGTGACCAGAGGAGGCACGACCGCTGGAAAGAGTGCAGAGAGAACAAGCATTGTGGTACATCTACAGCAGCACAACCGGGCGCCCAGCTGCAACAAAACATGTCTCTCCTCCATCGGTCTCTACAGCCACAACAGGTGCTGTAACACTTCCAACAGTTTGACTTCATCCCTGATGGTGAACTCCATAATAATAATAATAATAATAATAATAATAATTTATTTGTACCCTGTCCATCCGACTGGGTTTCTCCAGCCACTCTGGGCAGCTTCCAACAAAGATTAAAAATACATTAAAATGTCACACATTAAAAACTTCCCTAAACAGGGCTGCCTTCAGATGTCTTCTAAATGTCAGGTAGTTATTTATCTCTTTGACATCTGGCGGGAGGGCGTTCCACAGGGCAGGCGCCACTACCGAGAAGGCCCTCTGCCTGGTTCCTGTAACTTGGCTTCTTGCAGTGAGGGAACCGCCAGAAGGCCCTCGGAGCTGGACCTCAGCGTCTGGGCAGAACAATGGGGGTGGAGATGCTCCTTCAGGTATATAGGACCGAGGCCGTTTAAGGCTTTAAAGGTCAACACCAGCACTTTGAATAGCTGCCGCATTCTGGATTAATTGCAGTTTCTGGGTCACCTTCAAAGGTAGCCCCACGTAGAGCGCATTGCAGTAGTCCAAGTGGGAGAGAACTAGAGCATGCACCACTCTGGCCAGACAGTCTTCCAGCAGGACAGTCCCGAGACTGACAGTTGCTAACCATACGTAAGAATTAAATATCTACAACAGAATAGAAAATCCCCATAAAACACTAACCAGCAATATAATGAAACTTAGAGGAAATAAGCGGGAGGCAGTGGAAGACAGGAGTGCCTGGCGTGCTCTGGTCCATGGGGTCACGAAGAGTCGGACACGACTAAACGGCTAAACAACAACAACAACAGAGGAAATAAATGGCTGATTTGTTTGTGTATCTGCAGCAGGGTTCGTTCCTGTTAGATTCCAGGAATGTCTTAAGCCTGGTCCCTGGCTTCCCATAAGGACATAGGAACAGCCTTCTGGATCAGGCCAGCCTAGTCCAGCATCCTGTTCTCACAGTGGCCAACCTTCTCCCCTCCTGTGGTTTCCAGCAGCTGGTGTCCAGAAGCCTTGCTGCCTCCAGCTGTGAAGGCAGAGCCGAGGCCTCGCCATGAACTTGTCTAACCCTCTTTTAAAGCCATTTAAGGTCCCCATTGCTTACTGGGGGAGGGAGTTCCACAGTTGAATTTTGTGCTGCATGAAAAAGTCTCTTCTTTTATCTGTCCTGAACCTTCAGCTTCACTGGATGTCCAAGAGTTCTAGTGTTTTGAGAGAGGGAGAAAAACTCTCTCCACGCTCGCCATGCCCTGCACGATTTTATTAATGTCTATCATGTCACTTGGGACGCGGGTGGCGCTGTGGGTTAAACCACTGAGCCTAGGACTTGCCGATCAGAAGGTCGGCAGTTTGAATCCCCGTGACGGGGTGAGTTCCCGTTGCTCGGTCCCTACCTAGCAGTTTGAAAGCACGTCAAAGTGCAAGTAGATAAATAGGTACCGCTCCAGCAGGAAGGTAAACAGCATTTCTGTGCGCTGCTCTGGTTCTCCAGAAGCGGCTTAGTCATGCTGGCCACATGACCCGGAAGCTGTACGCCGGCTCCCTCGGCCAGTAAAGCGAGATGAGCGCCACAACCCCAGAGTCGGCCATGACTGGACCTAATGGCCAGGGGTCCTTTTACCCTTTACCTTTTTATCATGTAACTGCATAGAACAGGGGTCAGCAAACTTTTCCAGCAGGGGGCTGGTCCACTGTCCCTCAGTCTTTGTGGTGGGCCAGACTATATTTTGGGGAAAAAATAATGAATTCCTATGCCCCACAAATTACCCAGAGATGCATTTTAAATAAAAGCACACATTCTACTCATGTAAAAACACCAGGCAGGCCCCACAAATTACCCAGAGATGCATTTTAAATAAAAGCGCACATTCTACTCATGTAAAAACACACTGATTCCTGGACCATCTGTGGGCAGGATTTAGAAGGTGATTGGACCGGATCTGGCCCCCGGGCCTTAGGTTGCCTACCCATGGCATAGAAGAGTTGTAGAGCTGGAAGGGATCCCAAGGGTCATCTAGTCCAACCCCCTGCAATGCAGGAATGCCTCGCCTTTTCTCTGATCTAAAATGCCCCAAACGCTGCAACCTTTCAGGAGAGTCGCTCCAGCCCCTTGATCGTTTTGGTTGCCGTTTCCCGAGCCCGTCCCAACTCTCTCACATCGCTTTGGCAGCGAGAACCGCGTGCAGCCTTCCCAATGCGGTCGCGCCATAGGTTTATGGTGTATAGATCGCCTTATGATCCCAGGATCGCTGGCATGAAATTGCGAGGAACGAGAGAGGGTGAGGTCCGGAGTGTGTGTGTTCGAGAGCGCCTGGCGCGCTTCTGGAAAGCGCCTCCGGCGAGCTGCAAATGCGCGCATCTTGCAGAGAGCCCTTTGCAGGATCCCACCCCTTCTCTCTCCCGCCCCACTCTCTCCACCCCAATCAGGCCCGGGAGGGGTCCGCCTGCAGCTGGGATGGCTGCCTGGGAGCAAGAAGAGGACGGGGAGGTGGTGTTTGTGTTTGGTGGGGGGAGAGGCTAAAAATACGCACCGGCAGGAGGAGCAAAGTCCCCGGCAGGGGAGCGCTGTCGTGGCGGGGAGGCGGGGGCGCTGGCCAGCCTGAGCGAGCGGGGCAGCCCTCCAAGCCCAGGCACAGCAAGGGGGGCCGGGAGGCTATGGGCTGGCGGGGGGCGGGAGGAGGAGGGCCATCAGCTGGGCCGGGCTGATAGCCTATCTCCCGGGTAAAAGGGAGCAGGCCGCCTCCGCGCCTCCTCCTCCTCCGCGCCAGCCGCTGTCAGAGGATGGGCAGCATCGCCAGGGAGCCCGCCGACGGAGCCATGGAGCCCCGCGCCGAGCTGAGCGCCCCCGAGACGCGCGCCCCCGTCAAGCGGGACTACCATCACCGGTAAGGGGGCAGGCGTGGGGAGGCGCTGCTACCTCCAGACCCAGGGAGAGCATGCCGGGTGGCATCTGGAGAGCTGGAAGGGGGACCCCAAAGGTCATCCAGTCCAACCCCCTTGCAAGGCAGCAATCACAGCTCAAGACTCCCGGGCAGATGGCCAGCCAAGGAAGGAGATCCCGCCACTTTCTTAGGGAGCCCAGGGCCAGCTGCTCTGTAGAGTTGGGGGTGGGGGTGGGAAAAGGGGGCAGCGGGCTCCCCCTCTGAGCGCGTGGGGCAAGGGAGCGTTTTTGAGCGAGATCTCTTGGCAGCTGCTGTGATGGTTGTTTATCCAGTGGCAGGGAGTTCCTCTGGTCCCCTTTGAGGATGTGGGGGCTTGTTGGGCAGGGGTGGGGGAATATGTCTCTCTTCAGCCGAATATGGTGCGTGGGGGGGGGCAGTGAAGAAAGTGGATTATTGAGGGGAGCAGTGCAGCTCCGGCCTCCTCCACCTGCACTCAGAGATTTGCAATGGTTGCTGATATAATCCCTGGCCAAGTTCAAGGTGTTACTTAACAGCCTTTTTACCTGTTACTTAACCAGTTTACCTGCAAGATCACCTCGCCCCATAAACGCCTAATTCGACTGCTTCCATCAGCGGAACAGACTCTGCCACATAAGACCTCAATACTCTAGATTTTAGGGTGACAGCACGCTCACTTTGGAACTCCCTGCCTCTTGACTGCACTCTTTTGGATGCCTGCTAAAATCATTTTCATTAGGACAAGCCTACGCAGGTGTTCAGAAAGCTGATGCTAGTCTTAACCGGTTTTTAGTCCATTGCCATTTTAATGTTACGGATGTCTTCAATTATGATTGCTAATTTTTCTTGGCGATAATTTTATTGTTTTATCTCTTTCGTGAACCCCTTGGAGGTTTCTCCTTTACAATCAAGTAGGGTAAAAATGAAATAAATGTTGCTGGGGACGGGTGAGGAGCAGGCCCTTCCTGGTCAAAGAACGAAGCTTTGCTGCATCCAAATTGGCCTCCCTTCCACTTCAGGACTCATTTCCATCTCAAAAGCGCTTTCTGCTCTAATAACTTGTATTTTCTCCTCCCCGCCCCCCCAGTCCTCCTCGTCCTCCTCTCCTGGCAAGGCCGTTCCTTGCTTTCTCCTCCTGCTGGCTCTTTGGGGCCAGGACTACACGCTCCCCCGCCCCAAGGACAATGTCAGCAGGGAAGCGGCCGTGAAGGCAGAGGCATTGCAGGCCCAGAATCTCAAGTTGGGGGAGATAGGAGGGGAAGGACTTTTCCTTTGGGCTGCTCCTGTATTACTTTTATTATTATTGTTGTTGTTTATTTTAATTTCTGTTATTTTATTTATATCCCACCTTTTTCTCCACAGAGCTCAAGGGGGCATCTATTTATTTTTTATATAATTTTTTATTAGTTTTTTTTTAACATACCATTTTCAATAGTAACTAAACATATTTTTACATCTTATTCAGTTTTTTTTGACTTCCATCAGTCCTGTCTGAAAATTTTCCCATCTAATCTCTTAGTATACATTTCTTATTTCCCCTGTTACATTTAAAACTCCTAACCAATATCTCTGTTCTTTATCTACTTTGTAGCACTTCATATATTCCTCCTTACAAAACTTCTTCTAGTCCTACTATCGTCATTTGTTGGTTACAATTGCTTTTCAAATAGCTCATATACTTCTTCCAATCTTCTGTAAATCTCTGGTCCCGCAGGGTTCGAATCCTTCCTGTCATTTTGTCCAATTCTGCATAGTCCATTATTTTCGCCCGCCATTTTTCTTTCGTCGGAATTTCTTCTTGTTTCCTCAAGGGGGCATTTAACCCCCCACAACAACCCTGTGAGGTAGGTTAGGCTGAGAGGCAGCAAGGCACTGGCCCCAGGTCACATCCAGCGGGCTCTGTGGCTGAGTGGGGAGTTGCACCCTGGTCTCCTGGGTCCTAGTCCAACACTCTAACCACTATGCCACGCTGTCTCTCAACAACAAGGGTCCCTCCTCCCGGCACTGGCGGCTGAATATGCAGCCTAGGTGGGGGTGTCAAAAGATCCCTCCTGAGGCCCTTCTGTGGCAAAGGTGTCGCTGGGCCCTTGGGACATCTCCTTTCTTTCTTTTTCCCAATTTTTTTTTTATTAATTTTCCAAAAATTCAAAAACAAACAGACATACAAACATACATACATCCTGTTTCAATCTTGGTAACATTATTAAGTGGCTTTCTCAAATCCCCTTGATTGAATTTCATTATACAGTGGTACTTCGGGTTACATAGGCTTCAGGTTACAGACTCCGCTAACCCAGAAATAGTACCTCGGGTTAAGAACTTTGCTTCAGGATGAGAACAGAAATCGTGCTCCAGCAGCGTGGCAGCAGCAGGGGGCCCCATTAGCTAAAGTGGTGCTTCAGGTTAAGAACAGTTTCAGGTTAAGTACGGACCTCTGGAACGAATTAAGTACTTAACCTGAGATACCACTATATATCATTTTAACAGTTTTCCAAAATCAATTTTCTCAAAAAACTCACTTGATCACTTAACATCTTTCGTTCTTTCTAATTTAGCTTTAAACATCTTAAATCTTATCCTTACATATTTCAATCCTAAGCCTATCTAATATTTGCAAGCTTTTCCAATTAAGTTATCTTGACATATTTAGCTAAATAGTCTTTAAATTTCTTCCATTCTTCCTGGTACTCCTCCTTCTGGTCGCGGACTCTTCCAGTCAGGTCGGCCAGCTCCAGAAAAATCCATCATCTTTATCTGCCATGTGACATCTCCTTTCAACCACCAGTAAGGAACCCAGATCAGCCTCATCTGCATTCCCAAGAGGGGTTTGGTTCAGATCTGGGTCAGGGAAGCTTGGATACTTGACTGGCACTTTCCTCGCTTCCTTCAGATTCCGCTCACCTCCTGTTGGCAAGGAGGATGGGAGAGACCCTGACCTCATGGCTTTTCCTGCTTCCCTGTTGCACCTGTGGCTGCCTGCGGGGGGTCTGGTCCATCAGGGCAAAATGGGGCACTGCCAGCTTCATACTTTCGACCAGGTGACCCTGGAGGGTCCCTTCCAACTCTAGGTAAAGGTAAAGGGACCCCTGACCATTAGGTCCAGTCATGTCCGACTCTGGGGTTGCGGTGCTCATCTCGCTTTATCGGCCGAGAGAGCCGGCGTACAGCTGTCATGTGGCCAGCATGACCAAGCTGCTTCTGGCGAACCAGAGCAGCGCACGGAAACGCTGTTTACCTTCCCGCCAGAGCGTTACCTACCTATGTATCTACTTGCACTTTGACGTGCTTTTGAACTGCTAGGTTGGCAGGAGCAGGGACCCAACAACAGGAGCTCTCCCCGTCGCGTGGATTTGAACCGCTGACCTTCTGATCGGCAAGCCCTAGGCTCTGTGGTTTAACCCACAGCGCCACCCGCGTCCCTCCCTTCCAACTCTACAATTGTACAAATCCACGATCACTCTGTCTCAGTGTTCATCTGCAATCTAGAGACCTCTTGGGAGATAGGGAGATGGGGAAGAGGACACCGGCAGGCAGCAAAGCCACCCGTTGGGACTGGGCTGGGTGGAGCAGAAGACCAACCAGAAGAGACAGACCCTGTGCCATCAGTTTTTGCTTTGTCCCCATGATTTGTTCACCAGTGGTGTAGGTTTAGGGGTGAGCAGAGAGCGACCCAAGTTTGCTGATGAGACCAAATTGTTTCGGGTAGCAAATGCAAAGAAGAGATTGTGGAGAGCTCTGAAAAGTTCTCTCCAAGCTGAGTGAGTGGATTTTAAAAGGGCAAACGAGGTTCAGTGAAAGCAAGTGCAAAGCGATGCACCTTTGGGCAAAGCGATCTTTTAGATCTTATTCTATAAACCTCCGCGAGAATGAGACCTTGGGGTCACAGTAGATCGCTTGAGGAAGGCGGTGATCCGGTGTGCGGCAGCCATAAAAATAAAAGGCAAACTCCCTGCTAGGTATCCTCTGGAAAGGAATTGAAAATGAAACTTCCAGTAATGTAAGGCTGTTATACAAATCTACGGTGTGACCAGATTTGCAATATTGTGTATGATTCTAGCCACCTCACCTCCAAATCGATATTGCAGGTTGGAAAAGTTTCAGAAAGGGGACACCCGAATGATCGAGGGGATGGAGCGAATCCCCTATGCCAGTGGCTTTCAACCAGTGTGCTGTGGCACCCTGGGGTGCCTCGAATGATGGTCAGGGGAGCTGCAGGCAACACTGGCCTCTGTTCCTCTTTCCTTCCCTCTCTCCTTGGATGCCCTCTGGCGTCTCTGCCTCCCAAAGGCTTGCCCAGCTGTTTAATGCAGCAGCCCTGGCTACAAGCTCTGCGGGCGAATGATGCCTCTGGGATGATAATAATAATAATAATAATAAATTTATTTGTACCCCAGCCATCTGGCTGGGTTTCCCCAGCCACTCTGGGTGGCTTCCAACAAAGATTAAAAATACAGTGATACCTCGGGTTAAGTACTTAATTCGTTCCGGAGGTCCCTTCTTAACCTGAAACTGTTCTTAACCTGAAGCACCACTTTAGCTAATGGGGCCTCCTGCTGCTGCCACACCGCTGGAGCACGATTTCTGTTCTCATCCTGAAGCAAAGTTCTTAACCTGATGCACTATTTCTGGATTAGCGGAGTCTGTAACCTGAAGCGTATGTAACCCGAGGTACCACTATACATTAAAATGTCACACATTACAAACTTCCCTGAACAGGGCTGCCTTAAGATGTCTTCTAAATGTCAGGTAGTTGTTTATCTCTTTGACATCTGTTGGGAGAGCATTCCACAGGGCAGGTGCCACTACTGAGAAGGCCCTCTGCCTGGTTCCCTGTAACTTGGCTTCTCGCAGTGAGGGAGCCACCAGAAGGCCCTCGGAGCTGGAGCGCTGGACCTCAGTGTCCGGGCTGAACGATGGGGGTGGAGACGCTCCTTCAGGTATACAGGACCGAGGCCGTTTAGGGCTTTAAAGGTCAGCACCAACACTTTGAATTGTGCTTGGAAACGTACTGGGAGCCAATGTAGGTCAGTGTAGACAGTATTGCGCTAGATGGACCAAAGGTCTAATTCAGTATAAAGCAACTTCTTGTGGCTTTAAAAGAAGGTAAGACAAATTCATGGAGGAGAGAGCTATCAAGGGCTACTAGCCATGTTGGTCTCCACAGTCAGTGGCTTCTGAAAGCCAGTTGTTGCAAACCACAGGAGGGGAGAGGCCTCTTGTGTTCGAATCCTGCACAACAGGTTTCCCACTGGGTGCCCACTGTGAGAACAGGATGCTGAGCTTTGGTCTGATCCAGCAACCTCTTCTGATGCTCTTTTTTTTTTTAAAAAAAATTATTACTAACATATAAAACACATACATATACATTTACACAATACACGTACACAACACACTACCTTATTTTCATAACATAAAACATACCTCCATTATATAATGCCTACCTATACTGTACATTTCAACATACAGTGGTACATCAGGTTACATACGCTTCAGGTTACATACACTTCAGGTTACAGACTCCACTAACCCAGAAATAGTGCTTCAGGTTAAGAACTTTGCTTCAGGATGAGAACAGAAATCGGGCTCCGGCGGCACAGTGGCAGCAGAAGGCCCCATTAGCTAAAGTGGTGCCTCAGGTTAAGAACAGTTTCAGGTTAAGTACGGACCTCCAGAACGAATTAAGTACTTAACCTGAGGTACCACTGTACCTACACTCCTACCCCACATGGACACCCACCAAATGACTTGACTTCCAGCCGTTCTTGTTACGCTACTTTATTTTTCCAACTGGCTTAAACGCATTTCATTATTTCTTTAATCTCTTCTTCTATCTTGACTTTACTCTCCTTTCACTCTAATCATTTTCTGGATTAACTCAAAATCTGTCAGAAATTCTACTTTTTCCACATAAATTTTGATGTCTTCCTTAAAGATAGCCCACTCCTTATTCACTTTTTGTACCACATCTCCTCTTATCCTCCCTGTTAGTTCGGCAATATGGAAGTATTCCATCATTTTAGATAAACAGTCTGTTTTTGTTGGGATGCTGCTGCTTTTCCAATTTTTGGCAATCAATAACCTTGCCGGCGTAGTTGCATACATAAATATTGGTCTGACTGTTCTTTTTATTTCCTCTGACATGATACCTACGAGAAAGGATTCTGGGTTTTTCCCCCCAAATGAAAATCTAAACATCTTTTTCAGTTCGTTATAGATATTTTCCCAGAATCCCACTATCAGTATCTTATGATGTTCTTATGTAAGCGTGAGCCATGGAAAAGTGGTGTCCTGCCAGTCAGGACTATTTGCACTGGCTCAAAGCAAACAGGAGGGTCTCTAACCTTTGGCCGGGGCCTCCGCTCATCCTACCAGGATGACTTCTGGCTACACACCTCCTTCCTGGCCTCTCCTGGCGGACCTTGCTTTGGCAAGAGAGGGATCCGTCCCCAAGGGAGGAAAGGTTGCCCTCCTGTGTGGGCACTGCCTGAGGCCATTACATCAGCCGGCGCTGGGAGAAGCAGCCAGGGGACCCTTTCCAAACTCTGATAGGGAAGGTAAAGCCACCGCTTATGATGCAAGGCTCTGACGCACGCCCCGAGGTCAGGGGCGTCCCTTGGCCGTTCAAGGCCTTTCTGCTAACACCTCCCTGGGACAGGGTGGACAGGACGAATCGCTGCATTCCCAGGGGTTGGACCTGATGACTTCTTGGGTCCTGTTGTAAACATTATCTGCCCTTCTTCCCTTATGGGGTATCCAAGAGCCCATATAGAGTCCTTAAGTGGGTTCCCTATCGGTGGGATAAAATAGAGGCCAGCCAGAGAATATTGAGAAGCAAAGCAGCTAGTAAGCCTGATCTTTATTAAAGCTGTTGCAACAGGGTGCTCCCCTCACACGCAGGACAACGGAGGAGGACCCAGAACAAAGGTGTGTTAGCCCTTATATAGACATTTTAAATTCCCTGCCCTGGAACTCAAGACCATCCCTCCATACATCATACATACATCACAGAAGGGGTGTAACCCAAGACCACCCCCCACAAACATCATACCTACATCACAGAAAAGGCGGTCTACAACAGAAATTTGAATGTTGCTGTTTTTCCTGTCTGCCAGGTTATCTGATAATGCCTTATCTGATTGCCTTTCCTGGTAGTCTGGCCATTCCTTTGAGATGGTGATTTCCCAATTCCTGAGACAATGGGAAGGTTCCCTCACCCCCTCCCTCCTTGCAGAGAAAACATTTGGCCAGTTTGGGAGTCAAAATGGTTTCAGGGTGGTCTTGTGCTGCTCCAAACATGTGGTCCACATAGCTATCATAGCTGTCAACGTTTCCCTATTTTTAAGGGGAATTCCCTTATTCCGAATAGGATTCCTCGCAAGAAAAGGGAAAAGTTGACAGCTAGGATATCTATGCACGTGCTTGGTTGGTACATTTATGAACATTTATTATATATATATAAGACCTATTTTTTTTTATTGCACTTCTTTCCAATGCTATGATTCTACGATTCTTCACTACTAGCATTTTGTGGCTGGCCACGGGGCCTTAATGGCAGGCTTTGTGCCTTGGACGTGGCTGCGTCTCCCCAGTTAAGGAGCTGGCAAGCAGCCTCTGGCAGGCACTGACTCCTTCCCTACAAAGCGGTCAGCTCTCTCCCTCCGTCCCTTGCTCATTCAAGGAATCTGCTTGGAGTCTTCCAACTAGGCCACGTTGCATTTAATGTAGAACTTGGAAGCTCCTTTGGAAGAATGTGAGTGTGAGATCTGCTTAGGCGTTTTGTTAGCAAGGAGGATTAGTTTCTAGACCTCATGGTACAGGTGGGAAGCCCTCCCCCAAAGGCAGGGTTGGTTTCAGCTTGTGAAGGGGTGGGGTGGGAATTTAAGCAGTTAGGTAAAGGGACCCCTGACCGTTAGGTCCAGTCGCGGACAACTCTGGGGTTGCGGCGCTCATCTCACTTTACTGGCCTAGGGAGCCGGCATACAGCTTCCGGGTCATGTGGCCAGCATGACTAAGCCACTTCTGGTGAACCAGAGCAGTGCACGGAAATGCCGTTTACCTTCCTGCTGGAGCGGTACCTATTTATCTACTTGCACTTGACGTGCTTTCGAACTGCTAGATGGGCAGGAACTGGGACCGAGCAACGGGAGCTCACCCCATCGCGGGGATTCGAACCACCGACCTTCTGATTGGCAAGCCCTAGGCTCTGTGGTTTAGACCACAGGGCCACCCATGTCCCACAGCAGTTAAAGGTAAAGGGACCCCTGACCATTAGGTCCAGTCATGACCAACTCTGGGGTTGCGGCGCTCATCTCGCTTTATTGGCCAAGGGAGCCGGCGTACAGCTTCCAGGTCATGTGGCCAGCATGTCTAAGCCACTTCTGGCGAACCAGAGCAGCACATGGAAATGCCGTTTACCGTCCTGCCGGAGCGGTATCTATTTATCTACTTGCCATTTGACATGCTTTCGAACTGCTAGGTTGGCAGGAGCTGGGACTGAGCAACAGGAGCTCACCCCGTCGCGGGGATTCGAACTGCCAACCTTCTGATTGGTAAGCCCTAGGCTCTGTGGCTTAGACCACAGCGCCACCTGCGTCCCACAGCAGTTAGGGATGCTCAAAAAAGACTTCAGGGAACACATTGCTGAAAACATTAAGACCACCGACCAGAAGCTCTTCAAATATATTATCAGCAGGAAACCACCTAGAGAGGCAGTTGGATGACAAGGGAGTCAAACGAGGATAAGGAAATTGCAGAGACGCTGAATGAGTTACTTGCATCAGTCTTCATAATGCAGGATGTTGGACACACCCCAGGGCCTGAACTAACTTTTGCAGAAGGTGAGTCCTGGAAAGACAGATATTAGTGAGGAGAGGCCAAGTTCTAGGCCTAGTAGTCATTAAGTGTTCTTCTGCTTGAATCCTGCAAGCTGGTTTCCCACAGGTTGGCCACTGTGATGCTGGAATAGATGGGCTTTGGCTTGATCCAGCAGGCTGTTCTTCTCTTCAAGGAACCCAGGAGGTAGTTGGCAGGACCGGAAACCTACAGCAGGGTGGTGTGGGAAGGGGTGATCTTACCAAGAGGGATGCTGAGGAGTGGATGGACTTTTCCCTTTCAAGAAAATGACCTTTGCCACCCTGGGAATATCGATCCAGCCAGCTGCAGCAACCCCGCCCCCAAACAAGCCACAGGCACTTCCAGATGCTGTGATTATTGGGCACTCATCCTGATTAAGGACACCTCTTCCCATATGAACCTACCCGGTCCCCCTGAGATCATCTTCTGAAACTCTCCTTTCTGTGCCTCCTCAAGAGGTCCGGAGGGTGGCAACACGAGAACGGGGCCTTCTCTGCAGTAGCTCCCCGCCTGTGTAATGCTCTCCCCAGGAAAGTTTGCCTGGCACCTTCATGATACACCTTTAGGCACCAGGCAAAAACATTCCTTTTTAACCAGGACTTTGGTTGATTTGACTGACATTCTATGCCCTTTTAAAATGTTTTTTTTGGGGGGGGTCTGTGTGTGTGTTATTGGGTTGCTGTTTTTATTTTTATTATGCATTTTGTGGCTTTATATTTTGATTTTGTTCTCTGAACCGCCCTGAGACCCCCAGGTATAGGGCAGTATATAAATTCAATTAATAATAATAATAATAATAATAATAATAATTGTTATGTACTGAAGTTCTCACCCTGGGCCAGCATGGGGATACAGTAGATAGTTTTCACTCAGGTCCACATATGCAAATAAGGGATTGAAAGTGACGTTTAGTGATTGGATAGTTACAGAAAGTGGTTACAGTTGCGTTGTACTGGAGCTCTACATAAGCAGGCTGGCTGAACCCTTCTGTTCTGTTCTGTTCTGGCCTGTGAATAAACAAGAGCTGTTTGAAGAATCGCTGTGTCGTCTGATATGTTCACCCACAACTTAACACTGGTGACGAAGATGGGATCGATGGACATCAGAGCACAGCCAGATGCAGCCACCCTCTGAGCTGAACTGAATCACTGAGCTGAAACACCAAGCGAAATAATAATAATAATAATAATAAGAAGAAGAAGAAGAAGAAGAAGAAGAGGAGGAGCATATGCTGGATCAGGCCAGCATCCTGCTCTCATGGTGACCAGCCAGTTCCCATTGTGGGAAACTCACACACCTGATCCAACAGAGGCTCGTCTTCTGCTCTTGGTACTCTAAGTTACCAGCTCCAAGAGGGAGTTTGCCACTTGGATTGCAAGCGCTGGGCAAGTTTGCGGCTCCTCCTGGCCAGCCCGTGCAGGGTGTGTGACTCTGCCCTGGTGGTCCTGGAGATTCACCTGGCAGAGTGAAAAGATAACTGCTGCTTCGCCCATCCCTGTGGGCCTCTTCCTGAACTCAAGAGCCTCTGATGTATGTTGTCTACTCCTTCCGCGCAGTGGGGAGACCCCCGGGGGAAAAAAGAGAAGCATTTTGCCTAGGTGCCTTTGGAAGCAACAGTTGGGCAATTGCAGAGCCCCAGTAATGATTCTCAGTATCATAAAACATAATTAGAAAATTATGGGATGCCTGGGATGCCTGTGGCAGCGCCCTCTGTGATCCTCACTCAGTGTCAGGGAATGTGGGTGGGAGAGAGGAGCCCACCTTTTCTGGAAGGCTGTGCGTGTATAAGGGCTAGCGGATGTATTAAAAACTCCTTTGCTGGTCTGGGTCTCGAGATCTCACATTGAGGAATCTTTCGGTGAATGTTAGGTTCAAGTGGGATGTGTGTGTGTGTGCGTGTGTTAAACAGGGAAGGCTGAGTTTCATAGCTCATAAATCCCTGTAATGGGAAACTTGTTGACACAGCCTGCCCAGGAGCCCTGCTAATGTTAGACAGCTACGCTTGGTGCCCTCCAGTCCAGCTCCCTCCCTCTCTGTGTATCAACGATGCTGTGAGGCTCATCGCTCCGAGCCACCCAGGACCAGTAGCCACAAGTCAGGCCTGGGTGTGGAATAAGGTAAAGGGACCCCTGACCATTAGGTCCAGTCGTGGCCGACTCTGGGGTTGCGGCGCTCATCTCGCTTTACTGGCCGAGGGAGCTGGTGTACAGCTTCCGGGTCATGTGGCCAGCGTGACTAAGACGCTTCTGGCGAACCAGAGCAGTGCACAGAAACGCCGTTTACCTTCCCCCCGGAGCAGTACCTATTTATCTACTTGAGCTTTGACGTGCTTTTGAACTGCTAGGTTGGCAGGAGCAGGGACCGAGCAACGGGAGCTCACCCCGTCGCCAGGATTTGAACCGCAGACCTTCTGATCGGCAAGTCCTAGGCTCTGTGGTTTAACCCACAGCGCCACCCGCGTCCCTGGGTGTGCAGCAGGTGCAGTGAAAAAAATGGAAACCTGAAGAAATTGGATGCATGGAGGTCTTCCAGGAAGATTGGGCCATCTAGTCCAACCCCCTGATCTACAATTCGCACTCAGAACTCAGGGCTCTCCGTAGCCAAATGACCTCCAAGTGTGACTCGGAGTAACTGAAAGATGGTTGGGCTTTCTCAATCTCAAAAGGACTCTGCACCAGTGAAGGCAGAGAGTGGAGTGTGTGTACCTTTCGAAAGAGGGTTTGGGTAGAAAACCTTCCATGACATTGCATCACAGTTTCGTAGGTCCTTTCCAGACAAAGCACAGCCGATTAGATGGGACACCCAAATTGCTGGCAAGTCAGGGGGCAGATTGTGGCTCTTGGGAACCTCATGACACGGCCTCTCCTTTTCAGGATCTTTGTGAACCGGAGTCTGGCGCTGGAAAAGATCAAATGTTTCGGCTTTGACATGGACTACACTCTGGCAAGTAAGTAAGAGGCCGCCAGAAAACAAGCTTGCTCCATCTTCCATGTGACACAAAGGAGACGGGGAACAGACCCCTGTGCATTTTAAGCTGAGGAACCAGGTGGTAAAAGTTGTGCCTCATGATGGCTAAAAACTCTTGTTTTTATACTTTATCTTAATGCTTCCTTTTTGAATCACTTTGAGCTATTTTTGTGAAAAAGCAACTAATAAAGGGGGGATATACCGAGTCCTTGGGGGGTGTTGGGCTGTCAAAGCCACCCCCCCATTTTTTTTTCTTATATCAAATACTAATACTAAATGGTTCCTCCTGTTCAGGGGCAGTCTACCTCTGAGTATACAAGCAACAGGGGAAACTTAGCCCGGCTTGGGTGCTCCCAAGGGTACCTGGTTGCAGTTCTTGTCCACATTGCATAAATACTTCATTTTGATTGCTTTCTAAAATTTGCTTGTTTGTTTATTTATTATTTCATAAAAGTTTTGCACCGCTTGACTGTAGAAAAATCGAAACGATTTTCAAAGAAGCCCCCAAACAAACAAAACACACACACACACACGCAACACCACAACACTAAGAAAATTAACAATAATTTAAGACATTGTTAAAATAGCAATAATAACAATTGTTTAGGCTTGTTCATAATTCCATGACACAGAATAAAAGTAGAATCCAGTTGCTACTCCAATGACTCTAGAATATCCAAAGCAAGATGATGAAAAAGAATTAGAGGATATTGACAAATACAGAAGTGCAAATGGAAGTTTGCTTTATTTAGCAAACATACCCAGGCCTGACATATCAAATGCAACTAACATACTCAGCAGAAAAACGTCCAAGCTTATAACGAATGGTTCCTTTAAAGTATCCTAAAACACGTTTCATTGCATTCCAATCTTGCTGTATTGGCTTGGACAAAGATAAACCCAGGAAACGCCTCCTCCAAAGAGCCGGATTTAGGTTGGATGAGGCCCTCAGCTACTGAAGGTAATGGGGCCCTTTATATGTCCAGCTGTCCTTTGTCAAGAACAAATTGTCGCTGTTTTTTGTATTGAATATATATGCTATATGGTAATTTATGGACCTAATAGGTATCTAAAGCCATTTGCACATAAAATATGTATTTTATCAAAGTAATTGTTGAACTGAAATACAATCAAGAAGAAGTATATTAATAGTGAAATACACACTGTTGCTGTATGTAGGTTTTATTTTATTTGTTTTTTATCTTATATTTTGGAAATGTACATCCAGGGGTTTTTTTCCTTTAATTTTTTTTTTGGGGGGCCCCAAGAGCGTGGGGCCCTAAGCTATAGTTTGTTTAGCTTATCTGTAAATCCTGCACTGCTCCCCTTTTGCCTCTGCAGTGTACAAATCTCCGGACTATGAGGAGCTGGCTTTTGAGCTGCTGCTGGAGCGCTTGGTGTCCATTGGCTACCCCCACGAGATCCTGGAGTATAGATACGACCCCACTTTCCCCACCAGGTAAGGGAGCAGCGATGCCTTGGCAGCCCAGAGGTGGCCAGGGGGAAAGGACCCACCCTCCTCACCCGCCCTCTCCTCTTCCTCAGGGGCCTCGTATTTGACGCCATGTACGGGAATTTGCTGAAGGTGGACTCCCACGGGAACCTACTGGTCTGTGCTCACGGCTTCCGCTTCCTCAAAGGGTAGGTGACGTCCTCCAACACAAGCAGAACCACATAACACCAGGGACCACATAACACCTGTCCTGAGAGACCTGCATTGGCTCCCAGTACATTTCCAAGCACAATTCAAAGTGTTGGTGCTGACCTTTAAAGCCCTAGATGGCCTTGGCCCAGTATACCCGAAGGAGCATCTCCACCCCCATCGTTCTGCCCGGACACTGAGGTCCAGCGCCGAGGGCCTTCTGGCGGTTCCCTCATTGTGAGAAGTGAGGTTATAGGGAACCAGGCAGGGGGCCTTCTCGGTAGTGGCACCCGCCCTGTGAAACACCCTCCCTTCAGATGTGAAGGAAATAAGCAGCTATCTTATATTTAAAAGACATCTGAAGGCAGCCCTGTTTAGGGATGTTTTTAATATTTAATGCTGTCTTGTTTTTAACACTCGATTGGGAGCCGCCCAGAGTGGCTGGGGAAACTCAGCCAGATGGGCGGGGTATAAATAATAAATTATTATTATTATATTTACTCTCTCCAGTCCCCACCAGCTGTGGGCTTCTGTTGCTCCCCCAAGAAAAGCAGTCAGCCCTGGGAAGCCCCAAGGAGAAGGTCCTCTTACGTCTCCTGGGATGTGGGGGGGACGGGACTTTCCTTCCTCGGAGGTTTTTAAGAAGACCATCTGCAGGGATTCTTTAGCTGTGATTCCTGCATTGCAGGGGGTTGGACTGGATGACCTTTGTGGGTCCCTTCTGATTCTGTGATTCCAAAACATAAAAATAAAAAGGTCCATTTCCAAAAATGTTCCATTTCCAAAAATGTAAACTTCTTTCCTGCATCTTTTACCGTTACCTATCTATCTATCTATCTATCGATCTATATATAATGTTTATTTTTTATTTTTTTTATTTTTTACCAACAACCAAACCACAAACAGTGAACCCCCCCAGGCGGCTGATACATTGGGTATACATAATCAATAATAACATATTCAAATCAACCATATGTACAATTTTATATACGTTAACACTCCTCCATCCACAAGGTTTATTTAACTTTTAACATTTTAATTGCCCCAAATTGTTCAAACCTACCCAAATAATTCAATATCTTCTCAAACCAATCCTCCACTTTCTCACTGACCTGAAACCCTTTCATTCTGTGTATCTTCACAGTTAGATATTCTAAAATTATAATATTATTTAGTTTTTTCCTCCATTGGTTCACCCCTAACTTCTGCATTTTTCCAATTACTCGCTATAACCTGTCTGGCTGCAGTTACCATCAGTTTTACCCATTTACATTCCTCTTTTGTTTTTAACTCGGTGCTTCTCAGACTAATAAGAACCATTAAAATTGTGGGTAGGAAGGTGGGAATATCTAAATTAATGGTTCTTATCAATCTATTATATCATATTAACCAAAGTTCATTTCGCTTTACAGGTGTCAATTGTTTACAGTGGTCTTTTAAGTATATTACAAATTTCTTCCAGTCTTTTAAGAAATACTTGGTCTTCCTTTCAGTAGAGAATTTCATATCTGTCTTCCAAAGCCTTTCCCAACCTGTCATTAATATATTATGTCCCACGTCTTTCGCCCATTTTATCGTGACGCATTTGACCTGCTCCTCTTTCGTGTCCCACTCCAAGAGCAGATTGTACATGTCTTTAACCTTCCCTCTGTGGGTTTTCCTACAGTAAGGTCACCAGATTTTTTCCAATGAATCCTGGGACACTTTAATTTACCGTATTTTTTGCTCTATAAGACTCACTTTTTCCCTCCTAAAAAGTAAGGGGAAATGTGTGTGCGTCTTATGGAGCAAATGCAGGCTGCGCAGCTATCCCAGAAGCCAGAACAGCAAGAGGGATTGCTGCTTTCACTGTGCAGTGATCCCTCTTGCTGTTCTGGCTTCTGAGATTCAGAATATTTTTTTTCTTGTTTTCCTCCTCCAAAAACTAGGTGCGCCTTGTGGTCTGGTGCGTCTTATAGAGCGAAAAATACGGTAATTAATTAATTAATTAATTACTACACGTTTGGGACGTTGATGCTGCAGCGATGGCGGTGGCCTCTGCCTTGACCTCAACCGCCATGTTTCCCCTTCCTCTGAGGCTTCTATCTCCTTTCTCCATGAGCCTGGGCAGCCCCTGAGTTGTTGGATCTTTGGTGTTGGTGGGGAAGTGGTGCGCAGTGGGTCAGGCAGGGAAGGCGGAGAAGGAGGGCTGAGAGCGGATGCCTCCCTTCCCATCGGAGCAGCCCTAATCCCATCCCTACTTGTGTGCAAGCAGAAGGGGCAGGGATCCCTCAGCTGGGAAGGGAGGCTTCACACTGCCTTTCGGAGCAGCCCCATCCCAACTCCTACTTGCATGCAACTCCTACTTGCGTGCAAGCAGGAGGGGGAAGGGATCTCCCTTCCCATTGGAGCAGCCCCAATCCCATTCTTACTTGCGTGCAAGCAGGAGGGGGAAGGGATCTCCCTTCCCATTGGAGCAGCCCTAATCCCATCCCTACTTGTGTGCAAGCAGAAGGGGGAAGGGATCTCCCTTCCCATTGGAGCAGCCCCAATCCCATTCTTACTTGCGTGCAAGCAGGAGGGGGAAGGGATCTCCCTTCCCATTGGAGCAGCCCCAATCCCATTCTTACTTGCGTGCAAGCAGGAGGGGGAAGGGATCTCCCTTCCCATTGGAGCAGCCCTAATCCCATCCCTACTTGTGTGCAAGCAGAAGGGGGAAGGGATCTCCCTTCCCATTGGAGCAGCCCCAATCCCATTCTTACTTGCATGCAAGCAGGAGGGGGAAGGGATCTCCCTTCCCATTGGAGCAGCCCCAATCCCATTCTTACTTGCGTGCAAGCAGGAGGGGGCAGGGATCTCCCTTCCCATTGGAGCAGCCCCAATCCCATTCTTACTTGCATGCAAGCAGGAGGGGGAAGGGATCTCCCTTCCCATTGGAGCAGCTCCAATCCCATTCTTACTTGTGTGCAAGCAGGAGGGGGAAGGGATCCCTTATCTGGGAAGGGAGGCTTCCTGTTGCCTAACTGAGAGATCCCTGCATCTTAGAGCCCCTGTACCATCATCACATGGGGACTTCCGAGCAGCTCCTAAAGCCAGCCAGAGCCAACTGCTCTGGGCTGCTGAGACTGCCGCTGCTGCGTTTCCCGGGGACATTAGATGAAATCCGGGGACGGAATTTGTCCGGGGACTTATTCACAAATCTGGGGACTGTCCCCGGGAAACAGGGACGTCTGGTAACCCTATCCTACAGGGCCAGAGCTGGCAGTCACCTTCTCAGGTGGGAGCAGCTGGTCTGACCTTGGTGGTGGCTTCATCCTGCCCCTTGGAAAGCTGTTTCACCTCCCCCTCTCTCCCCCCCCCAGCACATTCCTGCCTTGCATTGTTCTGATATCTGGGATGGTTCTTTGCCCTCTAGTGCACACAGGGCCAGTTGGGAAGGAGAAGGGACCCACGGCAAGGTCACTCCCTGCCCTCATGTCTCCCCAGAACTTCCCAAGCTCTGGGCATCCAAATCACCAGCCTGGCATTTGCTTGCTCTGAACCAAGAACCCTTTGAGGTGTGTCCAAAGGGACCATGCTCTCACAGTGGCCAGCCAGGGAGTCGGAATTCTGCAAGCAGGATTCGAACGCAGGAGCAACTCTCCCCGCTCCTGTGTTGCTGGTATTCAGGAGGAGGCAGAACACAGCTCTGGTGGCCGCCAGTAGCCCTCTCTGCCATGAATTTGCCCAGTCCAGGAGGCAGGATTGCTGCCTTTTCAGGATCAAGGCCCCATACCTCCCCTCTCCTTGGGTTGGCCAGTTCAGATAATTGGCGTCGCTTTGCCTTTAAGTTTGCCCCCTTCCCTGCTAATTTCAAGGTCTCTGCCATTCTGAGAGCAGAACCAGCGCCCTCTTTGCCCTCCCTGCCAGCAAGATGCCCCTGCTCTCCTTTTCCCCACAGAGATGCCCCCCCCCTCTGTTTTTGTCCCTGGAACAGGCTGAGAATAGCTTTTGCAGGCGGTCCAGCCTGCAGGAGGGGGAGGCTGCAGTTGGGGGGGGGGGATAGTTCCCAGCTGCTGTCATGATGCTAAATCCTGCCCCGATGACTTTCCCTTTCCTATAGCGCGGATACTTCTGCTTCCCTAAGTGCCAGGCTTATTGTCCCCGGATCGCACCAGCTCTGGCGTCCCTCCTGATGCCACGGGGCACAGATCCCTCTTGCCTTAAACTAGGACAGGGTTGGGCAGCTGGGGGTGCAAGGAATTGGCAGAGAAATGGGGAAGCCCCAAATTAGACGTTGGTCTGAATGCAGTTGGGGAAAGCTGGGCTGCAAGGAGGTCCAGCTGATCACTGGGAAACAGGAAGAGACAGCGTGGTGCAGTGGTTAAAATGTCGGATTGTGACCTGGGGGACCGGGGTTCAGTTCCCCACTCAGTCACGAAGTTCGCTGGGCATGACCTTGGGGGTCAGTCCCTGCCCCTCGGTGCTACGGGGAAAAAGGTGGGATGGAAATAAATAAACTTAGAAAGGCGATGGCAGCCAAAATGGAGGGCTTTCTGCTGCCCACCCCCGCCATCCAAGAGGGGGGCCTGGTATGGACAGAGTGGCCAGGAAGACTTCCCCCTCATTCTCTTCTAAAAGCAGAACAGGGTTTCCGTGGGTCCAGAGCCAGCTTGTCACTCACCTGGCATCAGGTGACATCAGGTGCAGGGCAGGTAAGGCACAGCTGCCAGGGAACCATCTGGCCACACAAGGCTCCCCCCCCCCGTCCCCATCACGGCTTTCAGCAAGGAGCAGAATGTCCACCTGATGCCAAGTGGTTGACAAGTGACCCATAGGTCAGTGATTAACCGGAACCCTAAGCTACATCACTGCCAAATGACGGACAGGCTATTCAGGAGGTTCGCACAACACATAATTTAATTTTCTGTCGCGGGGTTTAGAAAAATTCATGGAGGAGAATGTTATTATGTTACGTTATTATCTGTGATTATATATGATGATAAGGGACGCGGGTGGCACTGTGGGTTAAACCACAGAGCCTAGGACTTGCCGATCAGAAGGTCGGCGGTTTGAATCCCCGCGATGGGGTGAGCTCCCATTGCTCAGTCCCTGCTCCTGCCAACCTAGCAGTTTGAAAGCACGTCAAAGTGCAAGTAGATAAATAGGTACCACTCTGGTGGGAAGGTAAATGGCGTTTCCGTGCGCTGCTCTGGTTTGCCAGAAGCGGCTTAGTCATGCTGGCCACATGACCCGGAAGCTGTACGCCGGCTCCCTCGGCCAATAAAGCGAGATGAGCGCCGCAACCCCAGAGTCGGCCACGACTGGACCTAATGGTCAGGGGTCCCTTTACCTTTTATATTTGATGATATTATTCTCTTCCATGAATTAATCTAAACCCCGTGGTGGAAAATTAAATTACATGCTGCCTGAATCCCCTGAGTAGCCTGTCCATCAGTTTGGAGGGGTCAGGGATGAACTTCAAATTTTATTTTATATACTGCCCCATCCCAAAGGAGCCCAGAACAGCAAGACAGTCACAATGGACACTCTCTCTGTGTAATCTCTCTTGCTGGGGAGAGTCTGCCTTTGTTCCCCCACCCAGTTTGAGGGTTTCTCATCAAGGCAACTTGTGGGATGCTGGATTTACTGGGTCCCTTCTGGCCCAATCCAGCAGCCAGCCAGGGGGCAGCGGTGAGCAATGGGGCCCCGATTCACCGCTCCCTTTGTGCACAGCCTTACTCTCAAAACCTCTGAACGGAGGGGGAGGTTTGGGGTTCCCAGTCTGCCAGTTCCTTCCAGCCCCCCTCACCTGCTTCCCCATTATACACACCCCCACCTCATGCCTGTGTGCTGTCCCCTCCCCCTTCCTGCTTTTAGGGCTGAGATCTGGAATTATTACCCCAACAAGTTCATCCAGAGGGATGACATGAAGAGGTTCCACATCCTGAACACGTTATTCAACCTGACAGGTGAGTGCAGATGGGGGAGACAGCGGTTGATGGCTCCTTGCCACGATATCTCTGATCTTCCTCCACAGTTAGAGACAGAAATGCTGGAAGTTTCTGGAAGCCACAGGAGGGGAGAGTTGCTCTTGTGCTTGCATTCTGTTTGCTGGTTTCCCAGAAGAGGCATCTGGTTAGCCGCTGGGGGTAGAAGAAGGTGCCACCATGGGACTGAAACTGCCATGGTCGTGCTGGTCAAGTGATCTTCGGCAGCCTAGGGACAGAGGTGAAAGCTGTTTCCTGGTCCTGCTGGATCTCTCAGCAGCCTTTGATACCATCGACCATAACATCCTTCTGGACCGTCTAGAGGAGCTGGGAGCTGGGGGCACTGTTATACAGTGGTTTCGCTCCTTCCTCCTGGACCGTGTCCAGAAAGTGGTGATGGAGGATGAGTGTTCAGACCCCTGGGTTCTCACTTGTGGGCTGCCTCAGGATTCCGTCCTCTCCCCCATCCTTTTTAACATCTACATGAAGCTGCTGGGAGAGATCATCACGGGGTTTGAGCTGGGTGTTCATCGGTACAGTGGTACCTCGGGTTAAGTACTTAATTCGTTCTGGAGGTCCGTTCTTAACCTGAAACTGTTCTTAACCTGAAGCACCACTTTAGGTAATGGGGCCTCGCGCCGCTGGAGCACAATTTCTGTTCTCATCCTGAAGCAAAGTTCTTAACCCGAGGTACTATTTCTGGGTTAGCAGAGTCTGTAACCTGAAGCGTATGTAACCTGAAGCGTATGTAACCCGAGGTACCTCTGTATGTGGATGATACCTAGCTCTACCCCTCCTTTAAATCGGAACCAGTGAACATCCTGTGTGAGTGTCTGGAGGCAGTGGGGGTGGATGGCGGCTAACAAATTGAGGTTGAATCTGAACAGAAGTACAGTCGTACCTTGGGCTGATGTAGCTTCAGGTTGAGCACTTTCAGGTTGCATTCCACGGCCACCCGGAAGTAATGGAACGGGTTACTTCTGGGTTTTGCTGCTCGTGCATGCGCAGACGCTCAAAATGACGTTACGTGCATGCGTAGAAGCGGCAAAACGCAACCTGCGCATGCGCAGATGCAGCTTGCGTTCTGCTCAGGATGCGAATGGGGCTCCGGAATGGATCCTGTTTGCATCCAGAGGTACCACTGTACTGTTTTGGGCGGAACAGGACAGGCAAGTATGAGGGACTCCCTGGTCCTGAATGGAGTATCCGTGCCCATAAAGGACCAGGTGTGCAGCCTAGGAGTAATTTTGGACTCGCAGCTGCCCATGGAGGCCTCTGGGTAGCTCTGGGAAGGGATCCCTGCAACTGACCTCTTCCTTTGAGGTGCCCCACTGACCTCTCCCCCCTCTTTTCCTGCAGAGACCTACCTGTTTGCCTGCCTGGTAGATTTTTTCACCAACTGCTCCAGATACGTGAAGTGAGTGCCATGGATTGTTTTGCCTGGGCGGTCTGGGTCGAGGGGGCATGAGGTGCAGAACAGTGCCGGGGGGAGGAAGGTGCCTGAAACGGTCCGGAAATCCAAACATCTGTTTGTGGTGTCTGTTCCTCTTTCCCCAGCTGTGACACAGGCTATAAACACGGGAACCTCTTCATGTCCTTCCGAAGCATGTTCCAAGATGTCCGAGACGCCATGGACTATGTCCACCTTTCAGTGAGCACCGCAGCGTGGGCAGTGAGGGGTGGGCATGGAGAACGACAAGGGAGCATCACCCACCTTTAGAAACCTTGCCCTCTGCCAACCTTCCCCAATTTGGCGTCCGCCAGATGTTTTAGACTTGGCTTCCACCAGCCCAAATCCTCTCAAGATCTCATCAAATCAAATGCAAGAGGTGTTGATTGATGGCTGGTGCTTTTATGTCATGCTGCGATCTGTGCTGGGGGGTCTGGGAAAGCCCTGAGGAGGCCCTGCTGGCTGCCCCTGAAGCCTTGCCAGAGTTGGAGGGACTCTGATTACCTCTTTGTGTCTTCATCTTCTAGGGCTCCCTCAAGGAGAAGACGCTGGAGAATCTGGAGAAATATGTGGTCAAAGACGTGAGTGTTGCCCAGGCCTAGGTGCAGAATTGCTGTCAGACAGGAAGTTTCTTTGGGGTTGGCCCCTTTGGCCCTTGACAGGCAGGCCTCTCCACCTTGAGCTCACCTTGCCTCCCTTCCACCAAGCCTGCTGAGGCAGGTGCCAGAGGGCCAGGAAGTGCGAGGCAGCTTCCGGCTCAGCAGCTGCAGCTGTCGGTGCAATTCCATTTTTCAAATTTCCTGTGCTCGGTAGTACTTCAACAGCTGTTGACAAAGAATCTGGGGAGCACAGATCCTTCCCCAAGGTCATTTCGCCCAGAGGAACCAGGGGGCTGAGAGACAAGTCCAGAAGTCCCTAATTTGAATCTCGTCTCTGTCCTGCCTTCACTAAAAGGGGTGGGGCTTAGGCAAGCCCCTCCCACCCAGCCTCAACCTTCCTTTCTGCAATATGGGGTAATCATACTCAAATGCTTGGCGTTGCAAGGACTGCATCAATCCATTGAACGTAAAGCCGTTTGATCACGCCAATGCAATTGGCAAATCCGAAGTATTAAAAGGTTGGGACACGGGTGGCACTGTGGGTTAAACCACTGAGCCTAGGGCTTGCCGATCAGAAGGTCGGCAGTTTGAATCCCCGCGACGGGGTGAGCTCCCGCTGCTCAGTCCCTGCTCCTGCCAACCTGACCGAAAGCATGTCAAAGTGCAAGTAGATAAATAGGTACCACTCTGGTGGGAAGGCAAATGGCGTTTCCGTGCGCTGCTCTGGTTTGCCAGAAGCGGCTTAGTCATACTGGCCACATGACCCGGAAGCTGTACGTCGGCTCCCTTGGCCAATAAAGCGAGATGAGCGCCACAACCCCAGAGTTGGTCATGACTGGACCTAATGGTCAGGGGCCCCTTTACCTTTAAGTATTAAAAGTAGGAGGTGCTTGGATTCTTCCTGGCTGGGCTCTGAAGCCCCCTTATCCATCCTGAGGTCACCCAAAGGTGCCTGGGTGGGTGAAGCAGCTTGGGCATCACTTGGCGCTCTCAAGATTGTCCCAAAAAAGAGCAAAGGTTAGATTTCTTGAACTGATGTACAGGCTCCATTGACGCCGGGGCTACGTTCCAAGGCACTGAAGGCATCGGTGAAATCCTGTAGAATTGAAACCCATTGAGAAAGCCCGAAAAACACCCCTTTTTGCCACTGTTCCACCCTTTTAGTGACGTTTCAGTGACGCCTTTATGATGTTCTCTGGGGTTCAGCACAATGCGCATATACATGTTCACACACATATTGAACGTGCGTAAATGAGCGGGGGGTGGGGGGGTTGCCTGCATAAACTCCCACAGGGGAAAATTCCAACATGATTTACAATGAGAATAAAATGATAAAAATACTTCCAGAGAAAGGGCAAGGAGGAGGCTGCAGAACAGAAGTTTATAAAATAATGCGTGGTAGGGAGAAAGTGAATTGAGGAAAGTTTTTCTCCCTCAGGACCCTATTTTTTTACAGTGGTACCTCGGGTTTCATACGCTTCAGGTTACATACGCTTCAGGTTACAGACTCGGCTAACCCAGAAATTTTACCTCGGGTTAAGAACTTTGCTTCAGGATGAGAACAGAAATTGCGCAGCAGTGGCAGCGGGAGGCCCCATTAGCTAAAGTGGTACCTCAGGTTAAGTACAGTTTCACGTTAAGAACGGACCTCCAGAATGAATTAAGTTCTTAACCCGAGGTAACACTGTATTTTAATTATTCAGTTTATTATCTACTTCTCACCATAAAGTCCCAGGATGCTCTACAACAGTTTAAAATACAGTACAGTAGTACCTTGGTACTCGAACAGCTTGCTTCCCGAACAAATTGGCTCCTGAATGCCACAAATCCGGAAGGTACTGTATTTTTTGCACCATAACACTCACTTTTTTCCTCCTAGAAAGTAAGGGGAAATGTCTGTGCGTGTTATGGAGCGAATGCCTGCGGGTGGCGGGGGGGATCTGCTGCAGTCGTGAGCAGAGGATCCATGGTTCCCCTTCCTTCCCTCCTCCGTGGTTACAAAGCATGGATCCACATGGATCCTCAGGATTTTTGCATTGGGCTACTCCAAACTCACTGTCAGATCACATGTCTGTGGCCACAGCATGAACCACAAAAATCATATATCCACTATTTCGTTTAGAATATTTTTTTCTTGTTTTCCTCCTCTAAAAACTACGTGCGTGTTATGGTCTGGTGCGTGTTATAGAGCGAAAAATACGGTAAGTCTTCTGGTTTGTGAATGTTTTTTGGAAGCCAAATGTCTGACGCAGCTTCTGATTGAGTGCAGGAAGCTCCTGCAGCCAATTGGAAGCTGCGCCTTGGTTTTTGAATGGTTTCAGGAGTCAAACGGACTCCCGGAATGGATTAAGTTAGAGAACCAAGGTACTACTGTATTAAGAACCCAGAAACATTTACCGCCTCTGATTGTGGAGGCGGAACAATAGCTGTTGTGGCTAGTAGCCATCAATAGCCGTCTCCTCCATGACCTGGTCTGTTCCTAAAACCTTTTATTGGCATCACATACAACATCCAAAACAAAACAAATCAATACAGAATTACCACTTCCCCAGTGGCACAAAACATTTGCTAAAAGACAGGAGGCAGAGCTGTCTGTCGTATAAAAGGTTTTATGAACGAATTGGTCTGTTCCCCTCTGAGGTCTTGACGCCTGCCTACTCCATTTCCTCCTGCCTTGCTTCCACAGCCACGGGTGCCTCTCCTGCTCAGCCGCATGAAGGACCACGGGAAGGTCTTTTTGGCCACCAACAGTGACTACAACTACACAGATGTAAGTAAGCCCCACCCCACCCCACGGCTCACCGAGGGCGGATGGGTGCACCTCCGTTCTCCCCACTTTGTGTCTGGCTCCACCCACGGAGAGAAGACGTGGCTGGCTGCCAGACGCGTGCAACGCTCGGCCCCCCACTTCTGTAGATCTTCCCCACTGAGCTATCCGCCCAGTGCCACTGCCCCACACAATGCCATAGCAGGCAGGGGGACATTGTTGGCTGGCAGGGGTCAGGAGGGGGAGCCACAGAGTCAGAGAAGTGATGGGAGCCAGGGTGGCTCCTTTGGAAACAAGGAAGGTGAGCCTGTCTTTGGTTCAAGTTCCTGAAGGAAGCTCCAGTGACACGTGGGTCTGTCCCTTTTCTAGGCGATCATGACGTACTTGTTTGACTTCGGAGAAGACGACGTGGTGAGTCGCCGCTTTCCCCGATTGCTAGCTCTCGCTCTTTCTCTTGCTCCCTGCTCCCAAGTGTAGCATTCCCAAAGCAAGGGAGGATTGGACTCTGATTAATATACACACAGAGGCTTGACCAGCAAGACTCTGGGAGGGGTGCCAATAATAATCCTGTCCACCCCTTGGCCCAGGTCGTTTTATTCACAAAAGAACTTTTTACACAGTGTTTGTAAGAACCAATCAGATTACCTCTGAGCATTAAAAAAAACAAAAACCACATGGGGACAAAGTTAAAGTTAAAACTACAAAGAAACTATTTCCTACTTGAGCATGCATACATAGTTCAGAGTAAATAAAATAGGAATCAAGGAGGAATGCTGTTAGGAAACACCGGAAGTCATAAACGGCAGTAAACGGGACAGGAAGGATGGCAGTATTTACCATCTCCTTGTGAACTCTCTTCCTGGCCCTTAGATTAACAAAATCAAGGAAAGGCACATCGGAGAAACTACCTACTATCTTTATGACCCAGGATGCCTGATGAACAACTGGCCTGTGTATTTAGAATGCTTATAGGTGCCTGTCAGGCGTAGAGAAAGCAAATGACAGAGGTGCAGAGGCTTGTGGGATTCGATCAGAAATTATTGTCAATGAATCAAACCCAGTCAACGCAATGCTTTCACTGCGGACACAATGGCTTGCTCTATATTTCATAATTCCTCATAGCAATCCCACCTGACCCCCACACTCTGGATATTTGCACCCCTACATCAAGGACCAGTTGGAAAACTCCACAAGGGGGCCTCATGTGAGGAGAGCTTCTTGTCTCCTGTTGGGTGACAGGAATGGGGGAGATTCCCCTGGCGGGGTGCCGCCTCATGGGTGGGCCAGTTCTGGGTTAGAGTGTTGGACTAGGACTCTGGAGACACCAGGGTCTGAGTCTCCTCCATGAATCTGTCACTGGGTGTGACATTCTATCTCAGCCTGACCTACCTCACAGGGTTGTCGTGGGGACAAAATGGGGAGGAGGAGAACCCCCACACGCCACCTTTCAGAGGAAAGGTGGAATAATAATTATAATTATAATAATTTATTATTTATACCCTGCCCATCTGACTGGGTCTCCCCAGCCACTCTGGGCGGCTTCCAACCAAATATGAAAAACAATACAGCGTCAGACATTAAAAACTTCCCTAAACAGGGCCGCCTTCAGGTGTCTTTTAAAAGTAAAATAGTTGTTTATCACCTTGACATCTGGTGGGAGGGCGTTCCACAGGGCAGGTGCCACTACCGAGAAGGCCCTCTGCCTGGTTCCCTGTAACCTCACTTCTTGCAGCGAGGGAACCACCAGAAGGCCCTCGGTGCTGGATCTCAGTGTCCGGGCTGAACGATGGGGGTGGACACACTACTTCAGGTTACACAGGACTGAGGTCGTTTAGGACTTTCAAGGTCAGCACCAACACTTTAAATTGTGCTCAGAAACGTACTGGGAGCCAATGAAGGTCTTTCAGGACTATGGTCTCGGCGGCCGCTCCCAGCCACCAGTCTAGCTGCCGTATTCTGGATTAATTGCAGTTTCCGGGTCACCTTCAAAGGTAGCCCCACGTAGAGCGCATTGCAGTAGTCCAAGCGAGAGATAACTGGAGCATGCACCACTCTGGCAAGACAGTCTGCGGGCAGGTAGGGTCTCAGCTTGCGTACCAGATGGAGCTGGTAGACAGCTGCCCTGGAATACAAATGTAATAAATAAACAAATAAGCTTCCAGACTCAGAGGTCAGCCTCTTCCCAACAAAGACCCCCTCCTACCCAGCTCTAAGCTGCCCTGATTTTTCCCGTCCCACGGCAGGAAGCACCCCAGAGCCGGCCTTGGCGCTCCTACTTTGACCTGATTGTGGTGGACACTCGCAAGCCGCTGTTCTTCGCGGAGGGCACTGTCCTTCGGCAAGTCAACACGGTAAGTACCCTTTTGGTGCCAGTTGGGAGGCTGGATGGGGGTAGAGGCATTGCAGGGGGTTGGACTAGATGGCCACTGGAGGGCCCTGACCTGAACAGAAGTCCTGCCGGCTGGGATGGGCCAGGATCTCTGAGTCTGGCTGGGAAAGCCCCTCTTAGAGAATTTTCTAGAGCAGAACACATAGACAAAGGCAATTCCTTTAGCTTGGGTTCCTGCATTGCAGGGGGCTGGACTAGATGACCCCTGAGGACCCCTTCTCAACTCTACAATTATGTGATTCCGTGCTGAGCAGCTGGAAAGCCACTCACCCTGCCTTCCAGCTTACCTCATTCCTCCCCTGCCCGACATAACTCCCTGTCTTTTTTTCTCAGGACACAGGGAAGCTGCGGATCGGTACCTACACAGGACCCCTTCAACACTGTGCTGTCTACTCGGGAGGTAAAGCCTGCACCAAAGCTATAGGCCATGTTGGGAAAACTGCCTGGCCTTTAAAAGAACCCCCAATATTAGCCAGACGTCAGTTGCTGCAGAAGGGAAACTGAGCCACAGGGAGTGGCATGAATCCATCAGGTCTGGAATCTGCTGCCTCTGTTGTTAACAAAATCTGCCCTTTCTCCCTTATCCAAGAGCCCATATAGAGTCCTTACGTAGGTTCCCTATTGGTAGGAGAAAATAACAGAGGCCAACCAGAGAATATTGAGAAGCAAAGCAGCTAGTAAGCCTGATCTTTATTGATCTGTTGCAACAGGGTCCTCACTCACCACACGCAGGAGGGAGGAGGAACCCAGAACAATGGCGCGCAAGGCCTTATATAGACATTTTAAATTCCCTGCCCTGGAGCTCAAGACCACCCCTCCATACATCATACATACATCACAGAAGGGGTGTAACCCAAGACCACCCCCCCACATACCTCCATCACAGAAAAGGTGGTCTAAAACAGAAATTTGAATGTTGTTTTTCCTGTTTGCCAGGTTATCTGATTGCCTTTCCTGTCTGTCTGTCACCCATTAAAATGCTGATTACTCAATTCCTGAGACAATGGGAAGGCTCCCTAACCCCCTTCCCTCCTTGCAGGGAAAACATTTGGTCGGTTTGGGAATCAAAATGGTTTCAGGTCGGTCTTCCTGTGCTGATGTATGTACGTGCTTGGTTGGTACACGTACAGTGGTGCCCCGCAAGACGAATGCCTCGCAAGACGGAAAACCCGCTAGATGAAAGGGTTTTCCGTTTTTGAGTTGCTTCGCAGGACGAATTTCCCTATGGGCTTGCTTCGCAAGACGAAAATGTCTTGCGAGTCTTGAGAATTTTTTTTCGCTTCCCCCCCCCTTTATCTAAGCCGCTAAGCCTTTAATAGCCTTTTAGCAGCTAATCCGCTAAGCCGATAAGCCTTTAATAGCCGCTAAACCGCTAATAGCGCTAATCCGTTAAGCCGCTAATAGGGTTGCTTCGCAAGACGAAAAAACCGCTAGACGAAGACACTCGCGGAATGGATTAATTTCGTCTTGCGAGGCACCACTGTATGAACATTTGACATATATCTAAGACCTCAAAATTCCTATCACACCTCTTCTCTTTCCAGGCTCTTCAGACCTGGTGTGTGACCTTTTGGGAGTGAAGGGCAAGGACATCTTGTACATCGGAGACCACATATTTGGGGACATTCTCAAATCCAAGAAGAGGCAGGGATGGAGGACCTTCCTGGTGGTGCCTGAGCTGGCCAAGGAGCTGCAAGTCTGGACAGAGAAAAGCGGTGAGGAGGAGGAAGGTTTCAGTGGGTGGAGGCAGGCTCCTCTCACCCCTTTGCAATGACCCAGAGAGCACCACCAGCCAAATTCTCTGCACAGTGCCTTGTTAATCTCTGGAACTCCCTCCCACAGGAGTCAGTGCTGGCTAGCAACTTGGATGGCTTTCAAAGAGGATTGGCCAAATTTGTGGAGGAAGAGAGGGCTATTGATGGCTCCTAGCCAGGTGGCTCTGCTCTGCCTGCAGAGTCCGAGGCAGCGATGCTTCTGAATTCCAGCTGGTGGAAACCACAGGAGAGGAGAATCTTGCTGGTGGTCTTCATCTGGTTGGCCACTGTGAGATGAGGGTTCTGGATTAGATGGGCTATTGCCCTGACCCAGCAGCCTCTTCTTATGTTCTCTGCCCTCCTGTGGTTAAAGGGGTGTCCCAGCCCACTCTACCTCCAGATCTTGGCTCTGATCCTTTTACTGGTGCCCCAAACCAGGTCTTATTTCCTAGATGTGTATCATATAGCTTTGTTACTTGCTGATACTGTTGTAAATAAAAATATGCCCTTTTCCCTTATGGGGTATCCAAGAGCCCATATAGAGTCCTTACATAGGTTCCCTATTGGTAGGAGAAAATAACAGAGGCCAACCAGAGAATATTGAGAAGCAAAGCAGCTAGTAAGCTTGATCTTTATTGATCTGTTGCAACAGGGTGCTCCCCTCACCCGCAGGAAAGGAGGAGGACCCCAAAAATGCTATGCAAGGGCTTGTAAAGACTTTTGAAATTCCCATCCTCTAGATCAAGACCACCCCCAGAAACATTATGCATTCATCACAGAAGGGGTGTAACCTAAGACCACCCCTCAGATAAGGCGGTCTAAAACAGAACATTTGCATGTTGTTTTCTCCTGTCGCTTTGTTTATTTCCTGTCTGGCAGGTTACTTGATTGGATTTCTTGGGGAGCCTTGGCAGTCTTTTGTAATGATAAGGCTCACACCCTTATTCAAACACAGATTAAGACAGGGAGGAAGAGACAATGGGGAGGCTTTTCCATTTTTACCATGCAGAGAAACATTTGCTCAGTTTAGGAATCAAAATGGTTCCAGGTTGGCCTTCCTGTGTTGATCTATGTACGTGTGGTTATGAACGTTGCCATATATCTAAAACCATAAAATTCCTATCACAATACCAAGAATCTAAAGACCCATCTCATCCCCAGTTCTAAGAGGTTGTGCTGGCAGGTCTTTTGCCCCTCCTTTTCAGAAGCCACACCTAAGAATGTCCATTTCCCCCTCCACAGAACTTTTTGAAGAGCTGAGGAGCCTGGACATCTTCTTGGCTGAGCTGTACCAGTAAGTCGGGATTCCTGCCCATTAGCACTTTGCCTGTTGCGTGCACATGAGAAATTTGCAAGGAACCCATGTTTCGTATTACTAGAAGAGAAACTTTGTTTTTAGAAAGACGGACAAGATTCTGAATGTGGAGTCATTGCCAGGGAGAGCTGCCTCTGTTGGAGGCGTTGCCATGGCTGGAACTGGACTGGAAGTGTCCTGCGGTGCCCCCTGCCCTGATTATGGCGATTATAGAATCACAGAATTGTAGAGTTGGTTGGGACCACCAAAGAGTTATCAAATTCATCCCCCTGCAATGCAGGAACCACAGTTAAAGAAGCCCTGACAGATGGCCATCCAGCCTCTACTTAAAAACTTCCAGCGAAGGAGAGTCCACTACCTTCGAAAGGAGTCCATTCTACGGACAAACAACTCCCACCCTCAGAAAGTTCTTCCTGATGCTTAGTCATAATCTCCTTCCTTGTCATTTGAATCCATTGGTTCAGGACTTACCCTCTGGGGCAGCAGAAAACAAGCTGGCTCCATCTTCCATGGGACAGCTCTGAAGATGCTGAAAGATGGCAATCAGATCCTCTGTTTTGTGTATTTAGAGCATCTGTATGTTGTCCTTCAGCCAGAAAGAATGGGCTTACATACGATACGATATCTTTATTGTCATTGTCCCATACAGAACAACGAAATTGAAAAAATCTACATCAGACATTCAAAAACCAATAAGTCTGCTATCCTAGTCTGGTTAACCCCCTAAAAACTCTGATACCCCATAATTAAATACAATATACTCACATAGAGACTACCTTACACTTCGTTTAAAACCAAAATCGCATTTGGATAGAAACTGTTTCTCAGGTGGCTAGTCCTAGCCTTTATAACCCTGTACCTTCTTCCAGAAGGCAGAAGCTGAAAGAGATCACTATCCTGTGCTATCTCTGCAGACTTCTTATGACACCTGGAAGCATAGATTTGATCCAAGGTGGGAAGAGTGCACCCAATTATTCTCTCCGCAGTCTTTACAACCCTGGACAGCATTGTTTTTCCCCTGACCGTGCAGCTCCCAAACCCCACACACACAGTAAAAACAAGACAGTCCACACTTGCAGGCTTACAATTTAAAAAAAGGTCCTATGACAAACAAGGGAAAAACAACAGAGAGGGAATAGGAAAATCAGCATCCAAATTCAGGCACCAACTTCAAAACAGCTGTTCCTATAATCTCCAGCTTGTACAGTTCAGGGGCAAGGAAGTGCCGTGTGGAACTGGGGCCCCAGCAAATCTTTAGGCAGGCAGTGTGACCTCCAGAAGGGATTCAGGTGGGATTTTGAGCACAGGTGTCCTCTTTTCCTCCCCCAGGCACCTGGACAGCGGGAGCAACGAACGGCCGGACATCAGCTCCATCAAGAAGCGGATTCAGGTACCCCCCCCCCCAGTTCCCAAGCAGCATCTTGGCCTATGGCCTTCCTGAGCCCATCACTCAAGCCTTTGGGCTGCTGGTCAAGGCTTCTGGGGCCAGAGCTCAGCCTCACTCAGACACAAATCCCTTTAGGGCTTGCTTAGTACGCAGCAAGGGACGCGGGTGGCGCTGTGGGTTAAACCACAGAGCCTAGGACTTGCCGATCAGAAGGTCGGCAGTTCAAATCCCACAATGGGGTGAGCTCCCGTTGCTCGGTCCCTGCTCCTGACAACCTAGCAGTTCAAAAGCACATCAAAGTGCAAGTAGATAAATAGGTAGCGCTCCGGCGGGAAGGTAAATGCCGTTTCCGTTCGCTGCTCTGGTTCGCCAGAAGCGGCTTAGTCATGCTGGCCACATGACCTGGAAGCTGTACGCCGGCTCCCTCGGCCAATAAAGCGAGATGAGCACCACAACCCCAGAGTCGGCCACTTCTGGATCTAATGGTCAGGGGTCCCCTTTACCTTAGTAGGCAGCAGAGCTGGCTAAAGAATGGAGCCTTATTTAAGGCTCTGCTGTCTTATGGTCCAGATGCCCAGCAGTGTCGTCCTCTTGGTTCCTACCTGGGGGGCTGTGACAGGCCGCAGGTGACAACCAGAAGCCCCAATGGGGAAACCTGCAAGCAGGATTTGAGTGCAAGAGCCCTCACCCTCCTCCTGTGGTTTCCAGCAGCTGGTGTTCAGAAGCATTGATGCCTCAGTCTGTGGAGACAGAGAATAGCCTTCTCCTCCATGAATTTATCCAGTTCTTTTTTAAAGCCGTCACTGCCTCCTGCAGGAGTGAGTTCCATAGTTTAACAATGTGCTGCATGAAGAAGACAGAGCCTGTTTTCTCCCACAAAGCAAAGGTCGTCTTGCTGGTCCTAGGCAGAATCCCCAAACCCACATGAGGGCAGGAGCTTCTTTAAGCCAAGCAGCACGTTGCACAAAAGCTCCTCTTTATTGGTTGGTAAACTAGATGATGGGCAGGTCCAGCAGTTGGGAGAAAGTCCGTGGGCAATGGCAGAGGTGTGGGTGACACCTGTTATAAGAAAAACACCTCTGATTCCCTTATGGGGTTATCTAGAGCCCGTATAATGGGACATGGGTGGCGCTGTGGGTTAAACCACAGAGCCTAGGACTTGCCGATCAGAAGGTCGGCAGTTCGAATCCCTTTGACGGGGTGAGCTCCCGTTGTTTGGTCCCTGCTCCTGCCAACCTAGCAGTTCGAAAGCACGTCAAAGTGCAAGTAGATAAATAGGTACCGCTCCGGCGGGAAGGTAAACGGCGTTTCTGTGCGCTGCTCTGGTTTGCCAGAAGCGGCTTAGTCATGCTGGCCACATGACCCAGAAGCTATTAAAGCGAGATGAGTGCTGCAACCCCAGAGTCGTCCGCGGCTGGACTTAACGGTCAGGGGTCCCTTTACCTTTATTATATATATAAGACCTTAATTTTTTTATTACATAAATTTTTATTTTTATTTTACCTAGAGGCTCTGCATTGTGATACCAAAAGCGATTCCCTCAGAGCCCACCAAGTTTGTTTTTAGCTCGATTTGAAAATCAAATGAAAGAATGGAGTATTTTTTTAAAAAAGATTAAAAGTAGCGCAGAATATCTGGTGGGCCAGCCTTTTGGAAGGCACCCTCAAGAGCTGTAGCTCTCCCCATGTCCACTTTTCCCCTTGCTCTTCCCCCCACAGGCCCAAAAAAGGTAATCCACCCCCGCCTTGGTTTTAGGAGGCCCCAGAGAGGTCTGCTCACGCACCACAGATTATTCAGGCAGTTGGGAAACATGGGCTAGAACCGCCAGATTCAGAACATTGCAACATAAGCTTGCCACAGAGGAAAATTTGTTTTTTTCTCAGGCCCTTGAGCGATGCAATCCAGCTGACCACAGCTGGTTTTGCAACATCCTGAGGGGGTTACTCCAACTTTAATTACGCCTCTCTCTGTTTCCTGTGTTAAAAGTTAACCAATCCTGATAAGAGACTTCTGGTTTTTTCTCTCTCTCCAAGTGTTCTGTTATAGAGAAGTAGTTCCTAAACATTTTTGGGCCACTGCCCTCTTGGTTCCATATTATTCGGCATTTTGCACACCCTATTATGGACGATAATAACACAATAAAATTCAGAACAGTAAGGATGAATTGCACATTTATTCAAAACCCAGTTAGAACAGTTTATGTTTAAGGAAGTCAACAAAAGTGATGCACTTGATCAAGTGATACCAGCTTTTTGAAATAGGATAGTCATTTATACCTCCAGTGCCCCCCACCCGCCCCCTTGGTCATCCTATGATCCCAGTGGCTGCTACAACTCAAGTTGGGAACTCACTGTTAGGGAGTCCTGTATATTGGTTCTTGAACTCAATCCTTTCTGGAAGTCCATTTGACTTCGAAAACGTTTGAAAACCAAGGCCCCGGAAACCATGCCGACAGCTGAAATGGACGTTCAGCTTCCAAAAAACATCCGTAAACCAGAACACTTACTCCGGGTTTGCGGCATTCGGGAGCTGAATTGTTCGTCACCTAAACTGTTCAGAAACCAAGGTACCATTGTACTTAAAATACCCCTGGCACCTGGACATTGTTGGCTGGGTTGGGGGAGCATTAAATGTTTTCCTGTTGTGAAAGTCATGGAAGAAAATGAGGAAGAAGACACAATTAAGGGTTCAATGCAAAAACTTAAAATATTAGTTGGAGCGGCCACAGGTCACTTGGACTGCTGTTAAGACTGAGACCTTGTACAGTGGTACCCCAGCTTAAGTACTTAATTCGTTCTGGAGGCCCGTACTTAACCTGAAACTGTTCTTAACCTGAAACACCACTTTAGCTAATGGGGCCTCCTGCTGCCGGAGCATGATTTCTGTTCTCATCCTGAAGCAAAGTTCTTAACCTGAAGCACTATTTCTGGGTTAGCTGAGTCTGTAACCTGAAACGTATGTAACTTGAGTGTATGTAACCTGAGGTACCACTGTATAGGGTGGTATACAAATTTCAATAATAATACTAATAATAATATGGTAAAACTTGCATACTAGAAAAAGCTACCTCACATGTGGAACAAGGCCAGCATGATTGGTCATTTGCCAAGAAGCTGCCACCACCAGCGAGCTTTCTTGCTTACAGGATCTGCTCACTTCTTCAGGGATGCTTCCCAGTTGAGGGAGTTGGGGATGTTTAGCCTGGGGAAGACGGAGAGGTGACAAATACCTGGAAGACGGAGTGAGCTTGATTTGTGCTCCTTCAGAGGGGAGGACCCGAACTGATGGATTCAAATTGCATGAAAGGCGATTCTGACTCAACGTTAGGAAGAACTTTCTGATGGCAAGAGCTGTTTGCCAGTGGAACGGATGACCTTGGAAGGTGGTGGAATCTCCTTCATTGGAGGTTTTGGACGGCCATCGGTCAGGGATTCCTGCATTTCAGGAACCAGATGACTTTTGGCGTCCCTTGCAACTCTACAATTCTAATATTCACTTAGGCTTTCATTTGCAAAAGTCCTGAGAGCCAGTGTGGTGTAGTGGTTAAGAGCGGTAGTCTTGTAATCTGGTGAACTGGGTTCGCTTCCCTGCTCCTCCACATGCAGCTGCTGGGTGACCTTGGGCCATAGCTGTCAACCGTCCCTTATTTGGCGGGAAACTCCCTTATCCCAGCGCCGTGTCCTGCTGCTGTCCCTTATTGTTGATGTCCCTTAAATTTCCCAGGTTTCAAAGGAAGCAGCTCCTCTCCCTCCCTCCCTGCCGGCCAGGGAGGCTCCAACTGTGTTGATTGGCTGCATTGCTCACCCAATAAGGAGTCTAAGAACGACTGGGGGGGTGGAGCTTGCATGCCTTGTGCTGATCAAATCGGCCGCGTTGCCTGGGGACTCACCTTTGCTCAGTGCTTCCCAGCAGAGAGGTGACGGTGGTTTTCCTTGCTGCATCCCCTTTGCTGAGTTGCTGCGCTGTGGGAACCACCGCTTGAGGCTTCGTTTGGCGCTGGTTGACTAAAATCCCTTATTTTGGCTGCTGATCCCTTATTTTTGAGGCTGCTGGTCCCTTATTTTCAAATCTGTAAGTTGACAGCTATGCCTTGGGCTAGTCACACATCTTTGAAGTCTCTCAGCCCCACTCACCTCACAGAGTGTTTGTTGTGGGGGAGGAAGGAAAATGAGAATGTTAGCCACTTTGAGACTTCTTCGGGTAGTGATAAAGTAGGATATCAAATCCAAACTCCAAACTCCTCCTCAATATACAGATAGTAGACCTGGAAGTTGTGGCCATATCTCGCACAAAGCGTTTGTGTTACCACCATAGAGAGATGGGGTGTGTGTGTCTCCTCTCCCCTGACAAAGGACAAAAAACCAAAAAGGGGTACCTGGTTGCCAGGACCCCACCTCCCAAGCCTAGGTTTCCCTGCTTCTATCCTTGGCGCCTGACTGAGCAGGGACTCTTCTTCTCTTGCAGAAAGTCACCCACGAGATGGACATGTGCTACGGGAAGATGGGGAGCCTCTTCCGCTGTGGGTCCCGCCAGACCCTCTTTGCCAACCAGCTGATGCGCTACGCAGACCTTTATGCTGCCTCCTTCATCAACTTCCTCTATTACCCTTTCAGCTACCTTTTCCGGGCACCACCCACCCTGGTATGTGGCTAGGGCATCCTGGGGCAGGAGATGGGGATGTGTGGACCTGCCTCTTGGCCCAGAGAAAGGGCTGAGGATTAGACAAATTCAGGAAGCAGAGGGCTATCGATGGCTGTACAGTGGCACCTCGGGTTAAGTACTTAATTCGTTCCGGAGGTCCATTCTTAACCTGAAACTGTTCTTAACCTGAAGCACCACTTTAGCTAATAGGGCCTCCCGCTGCCGCTGTGCCGCCGCCGTGCGATTTCTGTTCTCATCCTGAAGCAAAGTTCTTAACCCGAGGTACTATTTCTGGGTTAGCGGAGTCTGCAACCTGAAGCGTATGCACCGTATTTTTCGCTCCATAAGACGCACCTAGCTTTTAGAGGGGGAATGCAAGCAAAAAATATTATTTAAAGGGAGTTCTGAGCACAGCCTGTATGTATCCCAGGCTCTGACGGGCTGCCCTTCTCTCTCCTCGGGGAAAAGGCCCCAAGAGCTGCACACACGCTCCGCGCGGCTCTTGGGGGCTCTTGCGGGAGGTGGGGGAAGGGAGTCATGTGCTCTGTCCCTTCCCCCACCTCCCGCAAAAGCCGGGGATAGCCATGGAAGCCTCCGCAGGGCAGCGGGGAGCCTTCATCCCACTGCCCTGCGGAGGCTTCGCGGGATATCCCAGAAGCCAGAACAGCTAGAGGGAGCGCTGCGCCGCGGTCGGGGAGAGGGATTCCCACTGGGGCATCTGGTTGGCCACGTGAGGACAGGATCCCATAATAGATGGAGCCAGCAATGTCCTTACATTACAGGCTTTCTCCATGGAAGAGACTCCTCCTCTAAGCTGCCGGGGGGAACGGGACAAGAGGGGCAACCGTCTAGCCTTCCTGTACAGGCTTGCAGCTTTTGGCCAGCTCTGCAGCAGCTTCACTTTTTTCTCCTCTGGGAGGCTGGGTCTGCCTCCTGATGCCCACCCCCAACCCTGACAGTTGCGTGACAATTCTTGCCCCTCCAGATGCCCCATGAATCCACCGTGGAGCACACCCGGGTGGAGTTCAGCGAGACGGGTCTCCTGGCAGGGCATGTGATGCCCCAACACAGGCCGCTGCAGGTGAGTCTCTCTCTGCTCTTCTGCTGTCCCAACGCACTCCTGCATGCTTCCTCCTTTCCCTCCCGTGGTTTTTGGCTGCCCTCTACTGACACCCACACCAGCACACTGAAAATGGCTTTAGGTTTCAGTTAGTCATTGCCAATACAGTGGTTCTCAAACTTAATCAGTTCCGGATGTCCGTTCCAAAACCAAGGCACGCAATCAATCAGTACCTGAACTGGGTTCCACCAGATAGGTATCAATAAATTATTATTATTATTATTATTATTATTATTATTATCCTCCCCCCCCCCCACTGCCTTAGGGTTACATTTTCTGCAACTGGATTTGAGTCCAGGAAATAAACTGCTTAAGTGTTTAGCAAGCAACACTTTAACTGCTGCAAAAGAGCAGCTTGGGGGCCTCTCTGAACGCTGTACCACTGTTTCCCTGTCCTGTAGAAGCTGCACAGCGCTTCCCAGGAAGACACTGACGATGAGCACGACTGAGCCAGACCCCAACGGAGGATGCGGAAGGAAAACCTTGAGTGGAACGAACGCCTTAAGCTGCTAAGGGAGGGGTGGGGGGAGGAGAGGTCCGCCCCAGACCCTTCCCTGTGACGCTCCCAATTCCAAAGAGAGGCAAAGGGCTTCTGCTCAACTTCCCAGGGGGTGGCTCCAGGAGGTCTTTCCGGGAGGCTTACCCCACGGCTGCTTTCCAAAGTGGGAGCTTTCTGGGGAGCAGCCCCAGCTGAGCTCCTTATGTCTGCTGGCTTCAACCACCTCCCCAAAGGATTGTGGCCCCTGCAGTTGTGGGGCCAAGGATTTAAGGGAGAAATCCAGCGTGACCCCCTGCCGCTGTGCTGGAGGGAAGCCCCTTCCCTCAAGGCTCCAGCCACTAGGCCGTCCTGCTCTTCCAAAGACTCAAGAAGTCCTGGGAAGAAATCGGGAGATTCTTACAGCAAAGGAGAGGCTCTCTGGTGGGGTTGGGGAAAACCCAAGCCCCTCTTCTGCCTGGGCACTGACGGAGGTCAATGCAGTTGCCACAAATGTAGGGGGCTGTGGCTGTGTGTTTTGACAGGAACAGCTGTGGCCTTGTCGCTGAGCACTGGCAACCCAGACAAGGCCCTCAGCTGTCCCTTGAGCACAAGGACCTCCCAAAGGAAGAGAATGTCTGAGGGAGAAGAGGGGCAGAATTTGGGGGCACGGTGGCCGCCCACTGAGGATGGCTTGCAACGGAGCGGATTCGAGCCTGAAGTGTCTTTCGGAGAAGCCAGAAGCAGCCCCATAAAGGAGTTTAGAAACAGCCCCACGCCAGGTCCAAGGGGAGCCCTGAGCAACCCCTTTGCCACAATGCCCTCTCTTGTGAGAAACGTGGAAGAGCTAACAATCCACTCGCAGCTCCCAGAAAATCCACACAAATGCCACTGCCAAGGGGCTTCCCGTTCACGGCCACCTGGCACCCAAGACTTGGACTTCGTTTAGGGTGAGGCCCGGCAGTGCCAAGCCCAGGATCCCAGCCCCACCCCCCCACTCTGAAAAACCCATTCCACAATCAGGATATGGGGAGGACCCTTCCCTGCCTGTGCCCACAAAATGGCAGGCAGAGGCTCCGCATCCCCCCAAATTCCTTTTGCTCAGAGAGAAATCCAGCTGGGAGAGATGAGGGACCCCCCCCCCAATTCTTGCCGCTTCCTAAAGCCACCCGTGTTGTCAAAAAGGTTGTTTTCTTTTTCTTTTTTTAATCATTTCAAGAATAAAGATGCATATATATATTCTGAAAAGGGTCCCATGCTATGACCCCCCACATTTCCAGTCCGCCGATTCAGCTCTAACAGAACAGGGGCCTGCGCAGGGGTGGGTCTGGGGAGGCTGGCGCCGAGGTCCGTGGCAGAAAACCCTCCACCTCCACCGTCTCTAGCAAAGCTTCGTTCTTGCGGAAGATGAAGCGACAGCCGTCCTCCGCGTCCATGATTTCGTCCAGGCAGGACACGACGGGGTCATGGTCCCTCAGCATCTGTGGGTAGCGAGCAGACGCCCGGTCGATCCGCAGAGACCGCCGCACGGGGGTCAAGAGCTTCAGGCTTGGCCTCGCACTCGGCTCCTTGGCTCTGGAAAGGGACAGAGGGCATGGAATCATAGAGGACCCCTCAGAACCAGAAGGCGGCCAGTTGCCCCGGCCTGCTCCGCCATCTTGTCCTTCTTTTCCTGGTTGCCTCACCTCAGAAAGGATAGGGTAGCGTTGAAAAAGACAGAGCTAAGGCCCACCTCTTACCTGGGCAGCGATGCCACTTGAAGCTTGATTGCCGAAAGAGGCTGGCAAGCTGGTCCTTGCCCGGTGCTCTGCGCCTGCTCCTTGCCGGGAAGTCGGAGTTCAGCAGGGGTTGCTGTTGGGGGAGAGGAGAGAAAGAGAAGCCATTGAAGGACAGGCAGTGGCTGAAGAGGAAGAGCCCTGAGCTGGGCCTGCCTTTGCCCAGAGCAGCCTGGGGGGCCTTGCTGGCAAGGGAAAGAACGGCAAACCCGTTCTGGTGTTGCAGAAATTGCTCCATGTCCCCATGCAGAAGACTGTCCTGCTTCCAGGGGCAGGCAGTCGCCCAGAGGGCCCATTGCCACAGTTGGCAACCGACAGCAAGCAGGGCATCTTTCTTTCAAGCTGGCTCCAGAGGGTTCTGCCCACAGCTGTCAAGCGTCCCTTATTTGGTGGGACAGTCCCTTATCCCAGCGCCATGTCCCACTGCTGTCCCTTTTTGTTGATGTCCCTTAAATTTCCCAGGTTTCAAAGGAAGCAGCTCCTCTCCCTCCCTCCCTGCCGGCCAGGGAGGAGGGAGGCTCCAACTGTGTTGTTCAGCTGTGTTGCTCACCCAATAAGGAGTCTAAGAACGACTGGGGGGGTGGAGCTTGCATGCCTTGTGCCGATCAAATCGGCCGCGTTGCCTGGGGACTCGCCTTTGCTCAGCGCCTCCCAGCGGAGAGGTGCTGATGGTTTTCCTTGCTGCATCCCCTTTGCCAGGTTGCTGCGCTGTGGGAACCACCGCTTGAGGCTTCGTGTGGCTGCTGGCTGGGCTTTCTGCCTTTGGCTCGGAGGGGCTCAGAAGTTGAACATACCTGTGCCCGGAAAATCCCTTATTTTGGCTGCTGGTACCTTATTTTCGAGGCTGCTGGTCCCTTATTTTCAAATCTGTAAGTTGACAGCTATGGTCCTGCCCTGCTCCTGCCTATGCAGCCATGCTGCCAGGGAGGCAACTCCAGCGCTCTCAGGCCCAACAAGATTCAAATGGTGCTGAGATTCTCCAGTGTTACCCCTCCCTGCCCGCCCCCATCCATCCAGGTCCAAAGCTCTCTCCCTGCAGGGCTGCATTAGGACACGCAGAGCAAGCTACGGTGCATTAAGACACAAGAGAAACAAAATATATACTGAACGTAGACTTATAGATGCAGAAATCGCAATCTGGTAAAAAGAAACACGCACCCAGCCTTCTCAATGTGCAATGTTTGAAAAACTCTGAAGAACAGGGAGCCGCCTCTGCTGAAGGAAAGCAGGGCATGAATCCAACAGCCAATGGCCACTTTGGGGATCGAGGACGGGGTCACGAGAGCCACTGTGTTGGATGTGGAGGTGCACGGTTCCTTGCAGATACTAGGCCCAACCTGGGACACACTCTTTCAGGGAATGGTCCTGAGCTCTAAGGAAGCTTTGGCAAGAAGCAAAGGAACATCGCTCCCTCGCAGGAAGGTTTTGACACAAGGGCGCCAGAAAATGGAAGCTTTGACTGGGACCCAAGAATGCTTAGCCCAACCCCATCTGGAAAAACCAGGAGCATTGCCTGCAGAACTGAGAGAGGGATGCAGGGCTCGCTTTGGGCATTGCCTGCAAAAGGCCGCCTGCGTATATTCCCAGATGCAGAGATACAACATTAACCTCCAGTGAGGAAACTGAAAAATCATTTTGTTTACAATTCCTTCGCTAGGCACTGGCCTTAAAGCAGCAGTAAGGTACAGTCATACCTCTTGTTACGTTCGGTTCAGGCTATGCTCTTTCAGGATACCTCCTGAAAAGGTAAACGGGTTACTTCCGGGTTTTGCCGCTCGCGCATGCACAGATGCTCAAAATAACGTCATGCGCAGAAGTGGCGAATCGCGAGCCGTGCACATACAGATTGCGTTCTGCTCGGGTTGCGAACGGGGCTCCGGAACGGATCCTGCTCGCAACCAGAGGTACCACTGTATTCTACACGGGGGAGGAGAAGCTGCCCTCTCTTCACTCTTTCGCGTGTGTGTTTGGGAGGGGGGAGGGCAGAGTTTGGCTGGCAGGCCCGAAGCCCAGCCCAGCCAGCGATGATGGCTATGCTCTGGCCTCCACAGCTGGAGGCAGCAGTGCTTCTGAATCTCAGCAGCTGGAAACCACAGGAGGGGAGAAGGCTCTTGGGCTGGAATCCTGCTTGCGGGTTCCCAAAGGCATCTGGCTGGCCCCTGTGAGAACAGGATGCTGGGACCAGATGGGCCCCTGGCCTGATCCACTGCTTACCCCAGGCTTGACTGGAACGCTTCAGAGTGTCAACAAGGGCATCTCTCAACTCTCGTAGTGGCTGGAATGAGAGCAAAACGAAGTCCATCACTGAGCGACCAGAGCAGGCTGTTGCATTCCAAAAGCAAGGAAGGATTGGACTCTGATTAATAAAATACACACCAGGCTTGACCAGCAAGACTCTGGGAGGAAGTGTTAATACTAATCTGTCCACCCCCTGGCCCAGGTTGTTTTATAAACCAAAGAACCCTTTACACAGTGTTTGTAAGAACCAATCAGATTTCCTCTGAGCATTTCAAAAAACCCCACGTGGGGGCAAAGTTAAAGTTAAAACTACAAAGAGCTAATTTGAGCATGCATACATTCTGGGGTAAGTAAAACAGGACTAAAGGAGGAATGCATTCAGCAACCCTGGAGGTCATAAACAAGCAGTAAAGATTAGGCATCTTTATCACTTCCATGTGAAACTCTGTTTCCAGGCCCTAAGATCTACCTAAAGGTAAAGGTAAAGGGACCCCTGACCATTAGGTCCAGTCGTGACTGACTCTGGGGTTGCGGCGCTCATCTCGCTTTACTGGCCGAGGGAGACGGCGTACAGCTTCTGGGTCATGTGGCCAGCATGACTAAGCCGCTTCTGGCGAACCAGAGCAGCGCACGGAAACGCCGTTTACCTTCCCGCCGGAGCGCTACCTATTTATCTACTTTCACTTTGACGTGCTTTCAAAATGCTAGGTGGGCAGGAGCAGGGACCGTGCAACGGGAGCTCATCCCGTCGCAGAGATTCAAACCGCCGACCTTCTGATCGGCAAGCCCTAGGCTCTGTGGTTTAGACCACAGCGCCACCCGCGTCTACCTAAAGATTAACAAAAGCTACATCAAAGTAACCTATTATCTTTATGGCTCAGGATGCCTGGTGAAGCAACCAGTCTGTGTTTTAGAATGCTTTACGTGCCTGTCAGGTGTAGAAAATGGACAGTAGAGAAGATGGGCAGAGATGCAGAGGCTTATGGGATTTGATCAGAAACGACTGTCAATGACTCAAACCCAGTCAACGCAATGCTTTCATTGCTGACACAACGGCTTGCTTCATTTTTCATAATTCCTCATAGCAATCCCACCTGACCTCCTCAGGCCTCAGAGCGCTGCCTGCAGGATTTCACAGAATCGTAGAGTTGCAAGGGCCCCCAAGGAGTCATCTAGTCTAACCCTCTGCAATGCAGGAATCCCAGGTGAACGATCCTCCACCTTTGCTAAAAATACCGTATTTTTCGCTCTATAAGATGCACCAGACCACAAGACGCACCTAGTTTTTGGAGGAGGAAAACAAGAAAAAAAAATATTCTGAATCTCAGAAGCCAGAACAGCAAGAGGGATTGCTGCACAGTGAAAGCAGCAATCCCTCTTGCTGTTCTGGCTTCTGGGATAGCTGCGCAGCCTGCATTCGCTCCATAAGACACACACACACATTTCCCCTTACTGTTTAGGAGGGAAAAGGTGAGTCTTATAGAGCACAAAATACGGTATATCCAATGAAGGCAAGTCCACCACCTTTCGAGGGAGCAGGTTTCATGCACAAACATCCTTTTGCTACAGCTGTTTGGGGGGCAGGGGGAGAGACGCACATTGTGGGGGCCCAGATCTGGCGGCCCCAGCAAGGGAGATTCCACAGGACTGGCTGCTTAACAGCTCCACCCCAGGACGGATGGTCCTTTATAGCAGAGGTGGGGGGACCACAGCCAATTGCAACCCCCTCCTCTGCCTGTGGGCACACACGTCTTCCAGCAGCCCCCAGAGAATCATAGACTTGTAGGGAGTCCCAGGGGTCATCTAGGAAAGTCCAGCCCCCCTGATCTGATGTGAACAAGAGCCCATAGCAAGAAATGGCTCCTTACTGGGGGTGCGCCCCACGTTCTGGGGGCACCTCTTGTGCAAATCCCAGTCAAGCAGATGCTTTGAGCATTCTCAGTCCAGGTGGGATGGGCAAAGGGACCCCGCTTTGGGGGTCAGGAAGCTCAAGCCCAGACGCTTAGGGAGGCAGGAGGATGGCGAAGGGCTCTGCCTTTGCTGGGGAGCCCTGCCCCTCCCCACACCTCTTGGCATGTCCTTGCAAGGGGAAAAGCTCCTTTGGGCCTCCGTGGGTCTGACTTCATTTTGAACCCTGGCCTTCCAGGTCCTGGCCCAGCACTCTAACCACTACACCACACTGCCTCTCTGCCGCAGACACAGCGGACGAGAGGCCAAGAGTGAGGGGATTCCACCCACCACAGCTCCAGCGCAAGCAGCAGCACGGTACAGCCCGGCTGCATCCAACGGGCCTTGGCGGGCCAGCAGCTTCGCCTTGCAGACCCAGAACCGGGCAAACTTCTCAGCCTCTGGGATGTGGGACAGCATGGCCAGGAGCTCTTCCGAAGGAACCCCCTGGAGGGAAACAGAAAGGAGTCAGAAGGAGGCCGGCAGATGAGGAACACTTTGGGCTCGCTCTGTAGGCAGACTGTTTCCATTGGGCAGCGCTACCACAACCTTAAGGGTGTATTTGTGCAAAATCGGTTTTCGTTTTCCTTTTGCCCTGGTGCTTGAGGATAGAACCAGCAGATGGCAAAGTCGCTGGTACTGAAGACAGAAAACTGGGTGGGCATTCCTGTACCTCCGGACATTACAGAGCTGGGCATAGAAAAGGAGGCATAAAAAAACCCAGTCCCTCTTGACCCTGGAGACGTACCGTATTTTTCGCTCCGTAAGACGCACCTAGTTTTTAGAGAGGGAATGCAAGGAAAAAAATATTTTTAAAGGGACTGCTGAGCATAGCCTGTATGCATCCCAGGCTCTGCTCAGCGCTCCCTTTCACGAGCCGCGTGGAGCATGTGTGGGGCGCTTGCAGGCTTTTCCCAGAGGAGGGAGAAAAGCCCCCAAGAGCCGCACACACGCTCCACACGGCTTGTGAAAGAGAGTGCGGCTCTTGGGGGCTTTTCCAGGAGGTGGGGGAAGGGACTGAGGGGCTGCCCTCTGCCCCTTCCCCCATCTCCCTCTCTTTAAAGGGAGCGCGGCTCTTGGGGGCTTTTCTATGAGGTGGGAGAAGGACAGCTCGTCAGTGACAGGCTGCCCTTCTCCCTCCTTGGGGAAAAGCCTGCAAGAGCCGCGCAGAGCGTGTGTGCGGCTCTTGGGGGCTTTTCCCGCCTCCCTCCCGCCTGCATTCGCTCCATAAGAAGCACACACATTTCCCCTTACTTTTTAGGAGGGGAGAAGTGCGTCTTATGGCGCGGAAAATACGGTATATTTTAGGACCCTCCTTATTTCTGTAATTTTTAGTTGTTTTAAATTGTTTTTTGTTTTGCTTTTGGTGTAATTTTGTGTTTTAATTGTTACCTGCCCCTTGAACCTTAAGTCACCCAACCTCCCTTTAAAAACCTCCAATGAAGGAGTCAACCACTTTCCAATGTGATCTGTTCCACTGTCAAACAGCTCTAATAATAATAAATGCACACGGGTCCTGCATTCTGACTTCCCCATAGAAAATGGGCTTGAACTTGCTGCCCGTCAGGCCTGACATCCCCCGCTTCAGTCTGCAAAGGGTCAGGGAGTTCCACAGGCTCAATTCAGACCCCCCCCCCATATAAATGATTTAGGGAACATTCCCTTTGATGTTGGGCAACGGGCACTTCTGAAAATGTCTCTGTTTCAACTGACTCTTGGACTGCCCAGTTTGTTTCCTGAGAGTTACAGCGCAATGGGCCAAGGGCCGCAAACAATAAAAACGTGATTGACTTCCTTATTTCATTTATATCCTGCTCAATTGTGGAAAAACTCTGCTCCCGGCAGGGTGGGAGAAAGGAGAGTTTCAAAGCAAAGAAAAACAATATTGAGGCTGCCTTGGTGTCCCATGACAGGTTTTTCTCCCTGCTTTTATCATTCCTTGTGGGTTTTAATGATTGCATGTGTTATTTTGTAAACAGTTCTGCTTTTAAGCCACACACTGAATATTTATTGATGGGTGGCACTTATCAGTCTAACCAACCAGGCCTGCACTTTCTGCCCCATCGAAGGATGAAGCTCGTGGGCAACTTTCCAGACTAGACGGAAGACCCACAGCTCACCTCATCTGCCAGCTTCATGCAGTCTGCCAAAGTGCTGGCAATTTGCTGTGCCACCTTTTGCTGCTCCATCTCTTCCTCCATGCGGTCCCAGAAGGAGCGGTCCAGGGCCTCCTTCTCCTTGGGCGGGGGCCGCCTTTTAACGGGGAAGGTCATCGGGGGCCGCTTGTACTGTTTCCCTCTGGATGCCAACCACTCCTCTAGCTGCTTCCTAAGGGAGATCAAGGAGAGGTCAGACGACGTCAGAACCGAAGACAGGCCGGCCGGATCAGCGGCCACTTTCATTTCACTTTTAATTTGTCTACCGCCTTTCTATATTGCTACAAACGAGGCGGTTTGCAAGCTGAAGGAGCAACAAGACAGACAGCAGAGGTCACACGCCTAATCACAATCTGACCCAATACAAAAATGCCATAACAACATATCTAATGAATACATATTTAATAAGGCATTAGAATATAACAGTACAGTAGTACCTCGGGTTAAATACTTAATTCGTTCCGGAGGGGAGGTCCGTTCTTAACCTGAAACTGTTCTTAACCTGAAGCACCACTTTAGCTAATGGGGCCTCCCACTGCTGCCGTGCGATTTCTGTTCTCATCTTGAAGCAAAGTTCTTAACCTGAAGCACTATTTCTGGGTTAGCGGAGCCTGTAACCTGAAGCGTCTGTAACCCGAGGTACCACTGTAAACAGTATAATTAAATGCCAACAGATAATAATTAAATAGTTCACACTTAACAATAAAGAACTGCAAAAGTATAATCAATAAAAACGGCAGCAATTTACAATGCATAAAATCCCACAAAACATACCAAACCACGTAAAAGGATCAAATTGAGAAACGAGGACACACAACTTATGAATTTTTCAATTTAAAAAATTATCCCTTCTTTCTTCCCAGCTGCTGCTGCTGCTGTTCCCAAAGTCATGGTCTGGGAAAGACTCCTAGAGCTGAAGGGTGGGGTAAGGTAGGTGGAAAAAGGCCTCTCCATGAATTTGTCTAATCCTCTTTCAAAGCCGTCTGAGTTGGTGGCTCTCACTGCCACTCTTGACGCATCTCCCTGGCTACAGTAAAAAGCCTGGTCTTGATCAGAGCCTCTGTGGCTTTGAGGGCAATAGGATGGCCAAGGACAGGGGTCAGCAAACTTTTTCAGCAGGGGGCCAGTCCACTGTCCCTCCGACCTTGTGGGGGGCCGGACTATATTTTGAAGGGGGGGGGGAATTCCTATGCCCCACAAATAACCTAGAGATGCATTTTCAATCAAAGCACGCATTCTACTCATGTAAAAACATGCTGATTCCTGGACCGTCCGCAGGCTGGATTGAGAAGGCGATTGGGCCAGATTCGGCCCCTGGGCCTTAGTTTGCCTACCCATGGCCAAGAATAGGGGTCAGCAATCTTTTTTAGCCGTGGGCCGGTCCACTGTCCCTCAGACCATGTGGTGGGCAGGACTCTATTTTGAAAAATAAAAATGAACAAATTCCTATGCCCCACAAACAACCCAGAGATGCATTTTAAATAAAAGCACACATTCTACTCATGTAAAAACACGCCAATTCCCGGACCGTCCGCGGGCTGGATTGAGAAGGCGATTGGACCTTAGTTTGCCTACCCATGGCCAAGGAGGTCCAATTATTAGTTAGAAGCCAGAGCAAAATTGGGGTCATCTATGACCCCTTGCAGGCCTATCACTTTTCTTCTTCCTTGTCCCTCCTTTGTTTAGAGCTGCTTTCTGCGTGCCTTCAGGTTTCATAGAATTGCAGAGCTGGAGGGGACACAAAGGGCCATCTAGCCTGACCCGCTGCAATGCAGGAATCACGGCTCATCATTCCCAAGAGGGTGGCTCCTCATGCACACAAAGTAACACATGGACACGATGTCCCCTGTCAAGTGTGGAAGGTCTATTTGCAAGCAGATTCACTCACAAGGAGGCACTTTAGTGTGCCTTTTCCGAACTGTAATCTTGAATCTCCTATTAGTCCATCAGCAGAACCTGGTGGAGATATTGAGGCACCTCGGCTGAATAAAGATCTAGGGGTTCCTCTGAACATTACAGCACACAGGTGCATGAGGGATTGAGGCAGCAGTTTGGCCATGCGCTGGCCCACCCTTAAGGGACACGCCTAGACCCCATTCCCCACGCAGGAAAGACGGACAGATGAAACAAGACGGTGGCATCAGTCCAGTCCTGTGGAACTCTCTGCCACCAGAGATTCAGCAGGCAACCTCTGTGCCAAACTTTAAATGCCTGCCTGTGCAGACAATTAAGGATACATCATCCGACAATGGTTAATCAATGTGTGTTCTACACTTCTTTATACAGTTGTACCTTGGAACTTGAACAGAATCTGTTCCGGAAGTCTCTTCGACTTCCAAAACGTTAGAAAACCAAATTGCGGCTTTTGATTGGCTGCAGGAACTTCCTGCAGCCAATCAGAAGCCGCGGAAGCCCCGTCAGATGTTCGGGTTCCGAAATAACATTTGCAAACCAGAACAATCACTTCCGGGTTTGCGGCGTTCGGGAAGCAAAACATCCAAGTTCCAGGGCCTTTGGGATCCAAAGTACAACTGTATAGTTTTATGGCATAATTTTATGCATTTATTGCTGTAAGTTGCTCTGATGTTTTTCTTTTTCCTTTCTCCTCCTGTGATGAGGCTGCATTTTAATATTTTAATGTTTCAATTTTTTAATGTTGTATTTTAATCTTGTTTTTAAGTTGTATTCATTCAACTTATTTTTATTATTGCTTGTTAGCCGCCCTGAGCCCGGCCTTGGCTGGGGAGGGTGGGGTATAAATAATAATAATAATAATAATAATAATAATAATAATAATAATAATGTATTTTTATAAATGAATAATTGAAGTGAGTGCAAGAGCCACTCGGGCACCCACTTGTCTGCTCTATTGTGAACAAGAGCCCAAACATTCCAGGGGCAAACCCAAGAAAGGGCACTTTATCGGCCCAGATACCCACAATGCACCCTTGCTAGTCGCTGCTCAGGGCAGGATGAGTGAATGCAACCCGCTCTGGGTTCAACTTGCCTCCGATCCCGTGTGCCTGGGGTCTTGGGCTCTTGGCCTATCTCCCTCGCCTGCTGCTTTGCTCTGGGTGCGCCTCTCCCACGTCCTCCAGAGCCCTGCTCCGAGGCTCTGGGCCTGGATTTTGGCTCGGGAGTCCTGGGCGCTTGCTTGAACTTCTTGCTGCCCGGGTCCCTCCCTGCTGGGCTTCTGTTCTGCTTGGCGCCACCAGGCGCTGCTGAACGACATCTCTCCGGAGTGGCCTTCCGTTTCCTCTGCAAGGCTCCGTGGCGCCCGGGCAGCGGTCTCTCCTGCAGAGCACCAGCCTGCGGCCTGGACCGACCCCTCCGAAGAATGCCCAGGGATGAGGATGACACTGTTGATTCCCTCCCAGCCAGAGACCCTCCAGGAACAGGCGGACCAGTGGCCTGTGGAATCACCGCAGACTGCTTTATTAATCTGGGATTTTGGCCTCGGACTCCTGGCCTAGAAACAGCTGAGGGCCGTCCACGGGGTGGTGAAGTCCGCACCGCTGAGATGCTGTTTACTTGCCTCTGAGGACCCCCTAAGGGTGCTCTGGGCTTAACCTGTGCCGCAGCGGCCCTGTGGTTTTTCGAAAGGGTGCTCTTTTCCACAGCCTGCTTGCAGTTCTTCACGGGCGGTTTTGAGCCAGCTTGGGATTGGGCTTGGAGGCTGAAGCGAGACGTCTCTCTCTTCTGAGGCTGCCCAACACGCTTCAGCCCAGAGTTCTCTTTATCCTGCTCTGCCTTGTTAGAGTCTGAAAGGACTTTTGACGTCCCAGATGCTGTGGCCAATTCCTGCTGTCCAGGTTGTTTCGTCCTGCCTAAGTGATGTCCAGCAGATGAGATCCTGATGACCAGCTTCTCAGGGTGTTTTCTAGCAGGGGGCTTTGAGGGGAGAGGAAATATGGGCCCCCGCTTCCTTGGAAGTTGTGTGGGTGCATTGTTTGGCTCCTGATGCACGAGAGCCCTGGAAGCCTTATCTGGAAGGACTTTGCTAGCAGGTCCCAGCCCCTTTGCCTCCCTGGTCGATGCACTTTTGGCTGTGCTTGGGGCAACGGTTTTCCGGGATCCGACAGTCTGGAAATGGAGAAAATAATACGGTGAAATTATTTGAGAAACTCTTTAAATCAATTTTTCACCAAATAGAGCTTTCAGGACATTTTATGTAAAACAGAATTAGAAAAATAGTAAAAGCCTTTGAACAAACAAAAATATTCAATTGCCTTTAGTGCCATTGTTCCCATCCTGTGGAACTCTCTGCCACTAGATTCAGCACCTGCTGAAAAGCATTCTATTCCATCAGACCTATGCAGGCAACTAAGAACGAATTCTTCCACAATGGTTAACTGATGTCCGATTTCAACTTTGTTATGCTTTAATTGTTTTTATTGCTGCAAAGCACACACACAGAGTATACCGTGGTACCTCGGTTCTCAAAAGTCTCCGTTGTCGAACGTTTCGGAACCCGAACACCGAAAACCCAGAAGTAAACGCTTCCGTTTTTGAATGCACCTCGGAAGTCGAACGGCTTCCGCTCTGTGTTTTTTTCAGTTTTCTTAATTGCATTTGCAGCCAGCCCTTTGCATCTCAGTTTTTGAATGTTTCGGAATTCGAACGGTCTTCCGGAATGGATTCGAGAACCAAGGTACCACTGTATATATTTATGATTTAGCAGTACACATCTATTTTTATAGATAAATAAAAATAATAGCATGGAGACCTTGGACAATTTCTTTCGATACTCCACAGAGCCTGAGCAAACAAGTGCCTCTTAATCTGCTCCTGTGAACCCAGCAAAAGAGGCAGCCTTCCTTGCCACTATTCAGATCTCAACTTACGGTAGCTTGAAAAGTGCCATGTCTGTTTAGTTATTTTGAAGGAGTTTAAAAATATATATATATAACGAGCCCTATGGACAGATTTGCTTTAACAGAACATTGTGACATACTCAAGGGATAACTTAATGCCCACGCAATCATCACATGAGGACAATTTTAGTGAGGAATCTTAGAGAAATACCTTTAAGTTGAGTAAGTCAATGTATAGAAAGACAGGAGCATTTGGGAAAAGAGTTTTTAGACAGCAGAGAAAAGGGTGGGGGGAAGGAAGGATGAGAAATATTGCACTTTCACATAAAAACAACAGTGAATCTGACATGTTACTGGTTTGAATTTGGGGGAACTAAAAGCATGTGCAGAGTGCCTTGCAGAAAACATGGTCTCAGAATGCGTTAAGTGCATGAGATCTTTGGGGGAGGTTTTTTTCCACCCCACCACCCTCACAGGCATGCTTCAGGATGTGGGAGAGGGCCATTGGAACTCCCTCCCTAATGACCCTAGACTGCCTCCCTCCTTGCTTTCCTTCTGCCAGCAGGTGAAAACTGTTTTACAGTGGTACCTCGGGTTAAGTACTTGATTCATTCTGGAGGTCCGTTCTTAACCTGAAACAGTTCTTAACCTGAAGCACCACTTTAGCTAATGGGGCCTCCTGCTGCCGCCGTGCTGCCGGAGCATGATTTCTGTTCTCATCCTGAAGCAAAGTTCTTAACCTGAGGTAATATTTCTGGGTTAGCGGAGTCTGTAGCCTGAAGCGTCTGTAACCTGAGGTACCACTGTATTCTGGCAGGCCTGTAGGAACTGACTGTTTTTTTAAAAGGAAAGAGCTTTAAATAGGGTTGTGCTGTTTTTATTATCTGTATTTTAATAGAATTAAAATAATATAAAGAACAGATGTAGTTGAATTTACCTACTTTTTAACTTTAGAAAAAATGTTTTTAGCATCCTATATTTTGTCTGTGTTGTTTCAATTTGTGCAAGCCACCTTGAGTCCCATTCTGGGAAAACGGTGTGATATAAACAAATATAGTGATAATTCAGTAACGGTCACCAAATTTGTAAGGCTCCAGAGGAGAGAAAGAATGAGGATGACACTCTATATATTTGTCAGAACCGGAGACCAGAGGATGCCTCCCTTCTTCCTGTGACAGGAGGTTTGAACAGCAAGGTTTTCCTCCAACACAAGTTGCCACCTTCTCAGTGGCCTTGGGCTCCACTGCCAAGAGAGCTTGCCAGCTCACACCAGCTATTGTGAGGAAAAGACAGATTATCCTGGTAAAAGGGACTGGATCTAAATCCCAAGCAAGCCCCCAGAAAGATCCAGAGTCTCAGACACTCTGCATGCCATTGGTCAGAATAAACATTTATTATTTATTTATTGCACTTATATTCCAATTTTTCCTCCAAGGAGCTCCAAGTGGTGTACATGGTTCTCCTTCAATTAACCTGAGAGGCAGTGACTGCCCTGGGTCACCCAGGGAGCTTGATGGCAAACTGATTTGAACCCTGGTCTCCTGGATCCCAGTCCAGCAATCTAACCACTACACCACTCTGGCTCTCTAGATCACAATACAGAGGCTCACTGGATCTTGTCTACTTACAGGTTGTGCTTTGGAGGGAACTGGATTCTTCTGCCTGTTGTTGTTCTTCAAGTAGGGTCTGTGCAGCATAAGGAAAAGTTTGAAAATAAATTACTTTCTTAACACCCCCCCAGAGCAGCGCACGGAAACGCCGTTCACCTTCCCGCCAGAGTGGTACCTATTTATCTACTTGCACTTTGAGGTGCTTTTGAACTGCTAGGTGGGCAGCAGCTGGGACTGAGCAACAGGAGCTTATTCCGTCGCGAGGATTCGAACCACCAACCTTCTGATCGGCGAGCCCTAGGCTCTGTGGTTTAGACCACAGTGCCACCTGCGTCCCAAAAACTTATGTATACCACCTTGAACTCCTTGGAGAGAAAGGTAGGATATAAATGCAACAAATGGATGAGGGTTGTGAGCCCAGGATGAAGCCCACCCCTCTTCTCATGCCAGCAGGCCTTCACCATCCTCAAAGGGTCCTGGTCTGTTTCTGGGGTCAACCCCAGGGGCTGATTTGGGTGTGGCTGGTGCACAGTGCCCAAAGGACAGAGTGGCATTGAAAGGCTGTTTGGTTGCAAGGGAGAAGAATGAGAATCTTTGACAGAAGCCTGCACCCCACTTGCATGTTTCCAGCTGGCCCATTGAGGCACGCAGGGGTTCCCAGCTCCATCAGAGCTCCCTCTTCCTCCAACTGCCACATCAGGCTGCCTCAATGGAGAGCCAAGAGGAAGCAGGAGCATAGCTGTCAACCTTCCCTTTTTTGAGTGAAATTCCCTTATTCCAGCGCTGTTTCCCGCTGCTGTTCCGGATTGTTAGATATCCCATAGACTGTTCCCGGGACAGGTGAGGCTGCTGATCCCTTATTTTCGAGACTGTTGATCCCTTATTTTCAAATCTGAAAGTTGACAGCTATGAGCAGGAGGTTCTCTTATTGCACTAGGTTTACAGGAGGGCCTGATCCAGGGAGAAACTCTTTGCGTTAAACTGTGCCACCTTGGCGCCTGCATTCTGAGTTTTCCTCTTCCCTCCTTGTCCCTTTCCCCTTGCATGCCATGCGATGATGATTATTGATTGTAAGGTAGAAGAAGGACTTTCTTATTTCGATGCTATGTAAGCAACTCCAAAAGGGACGCGGGTGGCGCTGTAGGTCAAACCACAGAGCCTAGGACATGCCGATCAGAAGGTCGGCGGTTCGAATCTGCACGACAGAGTGAGCTCCCGTTGCTCAGTCCCTGCTCCTGCCAACCTAGCAGTTCGAAAGCATGTCAAAGTGCAAGTAGATAAATAGGTACCACTCCGGCGCGAAGGTAAACGGCGTTTCCGTGCGCTGCTCTGGTTCGCCAGTAGCGGCTTAGTCATGCTGGCCACATGACCCGGAAGCTGTACGCCGGCTCCCTCGGCCAATAAAGCGAGATGAGCGCCGCAACCCCAGAGTCTGTCACGACTGGACCTAATGGTCAGGGATACCTTTACCTTTAAGCAACTCCGAAAAGCAAAGCAAAAGCAAAGACTCACTTGGTGTTGGCCGGTCTCAGCCTTCCTTTGGCAGCTAAATATTCTTGCAGCTTCTGCCGCCGCTCCTCCACTGCTGCTGCTGCAGGAAAGAGAGAGAGAGACAGGAAAAGCCCTCAGAGGGTCGCAGTCAAAGGGGCGCCCCTAATTCCCTGGAGACGCCCCACCCCAGCCCCTCTGGAGAGTCAGCAGAGAAGTCCCCCCAAACGGCCGCTTCCAGAGCTTCCTTTCCTCCTGGACCCCCTTCCCCGTTCGCGCCTGCACTCTGCACATGCTCCGGGGACCCCTGCACCCTCACCGATCTCCTCTCTCCTTCCTCCTCCGCGCCGCAGCCCCGGCCCTCCCGCGCTCCGAGGCGCCTCCATGACAGCCAGCTGCGGCGGCGGCGGCATCGCCTTCGGGCGGCCGCTTCCCGCAGCTCCCGTTCAAAGGGACCAATAGGCTGCGAGGGGTGGGGAGGAGCCTATCCAATTGGCCGGGGAGAGCGGAGTGGGCGGAGCTGGCGATGTTCTTTCAGAAAGGGAAAGGAGACTCCCCCGGCCGCGCCCCTCGCGCCTTAGCCACGCCCAGGGCCAACTCCCCTTGCCACGCCCCCTTCTCCGCTCCGCTGCCGAAGTTTTCCCACGTGCAAAAGACCCCGCCTCGATGGTGGGGGCGGGGCTGCGCAGGGCTCCCCACCCCCCCTTTTTAAAGGGTGTCCAGCTCCTCCCCGCCCCCCCCCCCCGCAAATCCTGTGCTCAAACAGGAGCGCCGGGACTGCAAGGGGTTTTGTCCTGGGTGGGGGGTAAAGGCAGCCCCATGGGATCGCGGGATTCCTGCATTGCAGGGGGTTAGACTAGATCACCTCCTGGCAAATAGAAGGGGAAGAAATGAAGGCAGTGAAAGATTTTACTTTCTTGGGCTCCATGATCACTGCAGATGGTGACAGCAGCCACGAAATTAAAAGACGCCTGCTTCTTGGGAGGAAAGCAATGACAAACCTAGACAGCATCTTAAGAAGCAGAGACATCACCTTGCCAACAAAGGTCTGTATAGTTAAAACTATGGTTTTCCCAGTAGTGATGTATGGAAGTGAGAGCTGGACCATAAAGAAGGCTGATCGCCGAAGAATTGATGCTTTTGAATTCTGGTGCTGGAGGAGACTCTTGAGAGTCCCATGGACTGCAAGAAGATCAAACCTCTCCATTCTGAAGGAAATCAGCCCTGAGTGCTCACTGGAAGGACAGATCGTGAAGCTGAGGCTCCAATACTATGGCCACCTCATGAGAAGAGAAGACTCCCTGGAAAAGACCCTGATGTTGGGAAAGATGGAGGGCACAAGGAGAAGGGGACGACAGAGGACGAGATGGTGGGACAGTGTTCTCGAAGCTACCAGCATGAGTTTGACCAAACTGTGGGAGGCAGTAGAAGACCGGAGTGGCTGGCGTGCTCTGGTCCAGGGGGTCACGAAGAGTCGGACACGACTAAACGACTAAACACCACAGACTAGATGACCCTGGGTGGTCCCTTCCCAGTCTATGATTCAGTGACTGGTGTCCCCGCCCACCTATCAAAGTTGGGCCCTAGGTAGAGATCTGGCAGCCCCCTCGCACCACCCAGCCAATGGAACCCCCCCTTCCGGGCTTAACTTTACTTTCAAGTTACAGGTAGGTAGCCGTGGTTTTTTTGTTTTTTAAAAAACAATTTTTATTGATTTTCTTTTCTCAAACAAATATTCAACATCATCATTTAACATCCATTTTCTAGTTTCCCCCTCCCCGTTGACTTCCCCCACCTTCCATTTCTGGTTTATTAAACCAAATGTTACATTCTGCTGTTTATACATAATGTTCTGTTATCACTAATTGTATTTCTTGTTTTCTATAAAGAAAATTGTAAATGTTTATAGAAATTCTGCCAACGGGTCCATGTTTTTTTGTTGTGTCTGCGAGTATGTTGTAAAAGGTTCCCATTCTTTTCCAAAGTCACTATTATCCTTTTTACACAGTTTGTTCGTTAACTTTGCCAGTTCTGCCTATCTCATAAATTTTTCTTATTGTTCTCTTGATGGTATATCTCCAGTCTTCCAGTTTTGTGCTGTTAAAATTCTTGCTGCTGTAGTAGCATACATAAATAATGTCTGATTTTCCTTCGACATTTCTTGTCCTAGAATACCTAACAGAAAGGCTTCTGGTTTCTTCACAAAAGTTATTTTAAACATTTTTTTTCAAATCGTTATATATCATTTCACAAAACTTTTTAATAATCTTACAATCCCACCACATATGATAAAATGTACCTTCTCCTTCTTTACATCTCCAACAGTTCTTTTGTTCTGTTTTGTACATTTTGGCCAGTTTTAATGGGATGCGGGTGGCGCTGTGGTCTAAACCACTGAGCCTTGGGCTTGCCAGTCAGAAGGTCCCGTTGTTCAGTCCCAGCTATTGCCAACCTAGCAGTTCGAAAGCACGTCAAAGTGCAAGTAGATAAATAGGTAACGCTCCGGCGGGAAGGTAAACAGCGTTTCCGTGCGCTGCTCTGGTTTGCCAGAAGCAGCTTAGTCATGCTGGCCACATAACCCGGAAGCTGTCTGCGGACAAATGCCGGCTCCCTTGGCCTGTAAAGCGAGATGAGCGCTGCAACCCCAGAGTTGGCCATGACTGGACCTAACGGTCAGGGGTCCCTTTACCTTTACCACCTATACATCATTTTCATATAGTTCTCTTTCAGCAATATACAATCCGTAAACTTCAAGTTCACTTTCCAAAGCCTTATCCAGTCGTTTAATTGTATGTTGTGACCTATATCTTGTGCCCACTTAATCATTACTGCTTTAACTTCCTCATCTTTTGTTTCCCATTCCAACAGGATATTATATGCCTTCTTTAACAATTTAGACTTGTCATCTATGATATCCTTTTGGAATTTGGAAACTGTGTAGGTGAATGTTGTGTAGCCGTGTTGGTCTGCTGTACTTGAAATAAAATAAAAAAAATTCCTTCCAGTAAGCATCAAAATGTTCAAGTCGGTCAATGCTAATAAATAAATAAATAAGCAAGTGAATGAATAAACAAATAAATAAATGCAACATTTCCATATACAGTATATACATGATAAAAAACATGTCGACAAAAACTGCTCTGAGAGTTTTTTTTTTTTTTACAATGAAGTGGTGTATAAATTTTATGAAATAAATAAATAAATAGACAAATAAATAAATAAATAGTATAACCTGCAAGCACAGGAATTGGGATTTCCATACGTGGTACATACGTGGCCCTGAGAAATTCAGGCAGCCTAAAAAGATAACCAACCAACCAACATACCACTGTGGCTGAAAACATTAATGGTTATAAAAATAAATGAAAGTCGGTGTAGAAACGTTCTCCGATGACGTTGTGCATCTGTACGTAGCCGTTATCGTTTGGGGTGGCCATGTACCACCCGGGACAGATCAGGGACTGGAAAGTGAAGGTTTCGCTCGCTGGGCTGGTGGGCTTGTAATAAAAAAGGTACTTCTGGTTGTCTCCGGAGATTTCCTTCAGGGGCTTCTCCGCTTCCTAGAGGAAAGGGAGAGCGGTCAGGGGGCTGCCACACTCCCCAGCACACACAGCCAGAGTCTTGGGGGCCACACAGAGCTGCCTGAGGAGCATAGCTGTCAACTTACAGATTTGAAAATAAGGGACCAGCAGCCTCGAAAATAAGGGATCAGCAGCCAAAATAAGGGATTTTCCGGGCACAGGTATGTTCGACTTCTGAGCCCCTCCGAGCCAAAGGCAGAAAGCCCAGCCAGCAGCCAAACGAAGCCTCAAGCGGTGGTTCCCACAGTGCAGCAACCCGGCAAAGGGGATGCAGCAAGGAAAACCACCGTCACCTCTCCGCTGGGAAGCGCTGAGCAAAGGCGAGTCCCCAGGCAACGCGGCCGATTTGATCGGCACAAGGCATGCAAGCTCCAGCCCCCAGTCGTTCTTTGACTCCTTATTGGGTGAGCAACGCAGCCAAGCAACACAGTTGGAGCCTCCCTCCTCCCTGGAGGAGGGAGGGAGAGGAGCTGCTTCCTTTGAAACCCGGGAAATTTAAGGGACATCATCAATAAGGGACAGCAGCGGGACACAACACTGGGATAAGGGAGTTTCCCGCCAAATAAGGGACGGTAGACAGCTATGCTGAGGAGCACCATGCATTTTGTGGGGGGCGCTGGAGCCCTACTGCTCACCTCCTACTCACTACTCTACTCACCTCCAGCTGCAGGCGGCAGCCATCTCCCTCCTTGACGCACGTCAAGTACAGCTTGCTGTCGACAATGTCCAGAGCGACCAGCTGCCCAGAGTTGGCATCGCTGCCCAGCGGTGAGCGATAGAAACGCAGGTCCAGTTCCACTGGGAAGAAACCAAAGGGAAATCCTGCCTCAGTTCTGATGAGCTCAAGGTCCAGAAGCCTGAGCTTTGGCTATGTCTCTCTAAGCCCCCTGCTCCTGGGTGTGCACTTCCAGTACACAGAATCATAGATCAGGCACAGGGTGGGTTTCTGGTCTCCTGCCTCTGCCCCAGCTGATGTCCTCACCGATTCCCTGCTGAAACGTCTAGACTTGAAATGCAGGCCGTATCGCTCTCTTGGGATACTTTTTCATGTAACCCAGGTCAGCAGACTTTCACAGCTCAAGAAGGAGGTCCTACTTGGCGCTAGATTTCCCCTCTTTCATTTTATTTATGAACATTTATAAATTTCATAGTGGGTCCCATGCAACTTGGTACATTTGAACCACCTAATGCATGGGTAAGGGACGCGGGTGACGCTGTGGGTTAAACCACAGAGCCTAGGACTTGCCGATTGGAAGGTCGGCGGTTCGAATCCCCGCGACGGGGTGAGCTCTCGTTGCTCTGTCCCTGCTCCTGCCAACCTAGCAGTTTGAAAGCATGTCAAAATGCAAGTAGATAAATCGGTACCGCTCCAGCGGGAAGGTAAACGGCGTTTCTGTTCGCTCTGGTTCGCCAGAAGCGGCTTAGTCATGCTGGCCACGTGACCCAGAAGCTGTACGCTGGCTCCCTCGGCCAATAAAGCGAGATGAGCGCCGCAACCCCAGAGTCAGTCACGACTGGACCTAATGGTCCGGGGTCCCTTTACCTTAATGCATGGGTAGGCAAACTAAGGCTCGGGGGCCGAATAAGGCCCAAACACCTTCTAAATCCGGCCCGCGGACGGTCTGGGAATCAGCATGTTTTTACATGAGTAGAATGTGTTCTTTTATTTAAAATGCATCTCTGGGTTATTTGTGGGGCCTGCCTGGTGTTTTTACATGAGTAGAATGTGTTCTTTTACAGTGTTACCTCTGGATGTGAACAGGATCCGTCCTGGAGCCCCATTCGCATCCTGAAGCGAATGTAAGACGCGACTGTGCGTCTGCTTACGCCGGCAAAATTGGCTAAAATCTATAGATCAGAAAATAAGACATGCTGGAAATGTGGTGAAGGGGAGGGAGACCTCTACCATATGTGGTGGCAATGCAGCAAGGTGAAGGTTTTTGGAAGCAATCTATGTGAACCAAAAGTTTTTAAATACACTTTCCCAAGAGACCTGAAGGCCTTTTTTTGCTGGGAATAATGGGTAGGAAATAAATGAGATAAAATGTTTCTCATGCCTACAGCCGCAGATTATGCTGGCTGGAAGATAGAAACCATTCCTAACACCGTGACTGGCAGGTCAAAATGATCAACTATGCCGAGCTAGATAGATTAACAGGCAGAATACTGAGACCAAGAACGACCAGAATTTCATTGGAGTTTTGGAAATATATTGGAACGGATAGCATAGGAACTGGCGGTATTAGAAAAACTGTGTCAGCTAACCAACTATAGACTTTAATAAACTAATTGCGCAGCCCGGGACTTAATTGATACTTACCAAGGTGAAGGGAAGTCAAAAGGCTAAGGAGAGCCTAATGGTTATATTATTTTTGTATGAACATATTTTTATATTGTAAATAGGATGAATATTTTTTGTTAAAATGTTTATTTTTGTATTTGTTAGTTCTTTTTTCTTTTCTTTATACAAATTCTGAATAAAAATTTACTTGAAAAAAAAAAAAAAAAAAAAAAGACGCGACTGTGCGTCTGCGCGGGTCGCATTTCTTTCTTTTTTTTTAAATAGATATTTATTGAAATTTTCAAAATGTTACAAAAAATAAAAAATAAAATAGAAGCAGAAAAAAGTACAAAATAAAAATAGTTGACAAAGTAGAAAAAGAAGAAAAAAACAAACCCCTTCCCACCATATGAATAAAAATTCAAAATAAGAAAAAGTGAAAGAAAAAAAAGAAAAATACAAAAAAAAAAAAAATTTCGCATTTCGCCACTTACGCACATGACTTCATTTTGAGCCTCTGCGCATGCGGCAAAACCCAGAAGTAATGAGCTCCATTACTTCCGGGTTGCCACGGAGCGCAACCCAAAAATATTTAAGCTGAAGCGTATTCATCCCGAGGTATGACTGTACAGTGGTACCTCGGGTTAAGTACTTCGTTCCGGAGGTCCGTTCTTAACCTGAAACTGTTCTTAACCTGAAGCACCGCTTTAGCTAATGGGGCCTCCTGCTGCCGCCGCACTGCCGGAGCACAATTTCACATCTCATCCTGAAGCAAAGTAATATTTCTGGGTTAGCGGAGTCTGTAACCTGAAGCGTATGTATCCTGAAGCGTATGTAAACCGAGGTACCACTGTATTTAAAATGCATCTCTGGGTTATTTCTGGGGCATAGGAATTTGTTCATTTCCACAAGGTCTGAGGGACAGTGGACCGGCCCCCTGCTGAAATAGTTTGCTGACCTCTGACCTGATACATAAGCATTAGATGCCAGGGATGTTCTGATCTCGCCCTCCACCTGCAAAAAGATGTACCTTGCCCTGACATCGAAATATATGCCATGAGGAGGCTGGGCATGCCACAAACTGGGAGCTAGCACAGAGAAGACCCTCTTATTGTTTCCCTATCTTTCATTGACCAAACTGTTGGAGACCATTGGAGGCAGACCTAGCATGGACATTGGCCAGCCTGCCACACCCTGGCACCCTCCAGATGCCTTGGAGCATCTATAACTCGCCCTACAGTGGTGCTTGGCAGGAGAAAGGAGGGAGGCTGGTGTATGAGGGAAGATGGAGAGGTGGCGAGCTGGCACTTTCAAATATCTGAAGGGCTGTCCCACAGAAGATGGAGCCAGCTTGTCTTCTGCTGCTCCAGAGGGCAGAACCCAGACCAATGGGTTCAAATGGCAAGGAAGGAGATTCTGAGTAAATGTTAGGAAGAACTTGCCCAAAGATTAAGGCTTTCTGGGAAATGATATATAATGAACTGAAAAAGGTATTTAAATATACCTTCTTGAAGAAACCAGAGGCCTTTCTCCTGGGCATTGTCGGCCAATTGGTGCCAAAGAAGGACAGAACTTTCTTTATGTATGCTACAACAGCAGCAAGAATACTCATTGCAAAGCATTGGAAGACACTAGATCTACCCACTCTGGAAGAATGGCAGATGAAGGTGATTGACTACATGGAATTGGCAGAAATGACTGGCAGAATCCGAGACCAGGGAGAAGAGTCGGTGAAAGAAGACTGGAAGAAATTTAAATACTTTTTACAGAAATATTGTAAAATTAATGAATCTTAGAAGGATGTTGGATAGAAACTAAGTGGTTTCCAGCTGTAATGCTTTAAGAGATACGAAAAATGGTTTACAAATGGGTAAAAGCTTATGGTAAGGATTTGCTGAACTAACAAACTGAACTGGAATACAAAAAGGGAGGTAGGAGGAGGTCCAGGGAAATAAGGGTAAGGAAGATATGCTATGGAAAGTTAACGTGTTTTTAACTGTTTTTATCTTGTATGTTTTTCTTTATTTTTCTTTTTTTTGTTATATTTTAAAAATTTTATTCTTTTTTCTGTATCTTGTATTTTCTTGTATTTTTATTTTTTGTTTTTGTATTCTTTGAAATTTTAATAAATATCATTTAAAAAAAATGTTAGGAAGAACTTTCTGCTGGTAAGAGCCATTGCACAGTGCAACTGGACTCCCTCAGAAGGCGGCAGATTCTCCTTCATTGGAGATTTTAAAGCAGAGGTTGGATGGCCATCAGTGAGAGATTATTTAGCTTTGCAGGGGGTTGGACTAGATCAGCATTTCCCAACCTTGGGCCTCCAGCTGTTTTTGGACTACAACTCCCATAATCCTCAGCTAGCAAGACCAGTGGTCAGGGATGATGGGAATTGTAGTTCGAAAACAGCTGGAGGCCCAAGGTTGGGAAACACTGGACTAGATGACCCCGGAGGGTCCCTTCTAGCTCTACACTTACATGATTCCTTACCTGGCTTGTCGTTGACTTGTAAGTGCAAGGCAAGGAGCTTGGGCTGCCCTGGGGTCCCGTCCAGGAAAAAGCACTTGTTGTCCAGATCTTGGATGGTCCACCTTTGCACCTTGTCATAGGTGTAAGCAGACGGAAGCCCTGAAGACACAAGGCTGGCTTCAGCAAAGGAGGATGGACCTGGACATGCAAGAGGGAACAGGGAGCATTATGGTCAGCACAAGGGAAAGGCCAGCAAGACTTGGAAGCTCTTGCTACAACCCTTCCAGAACAATCCTCTCGTCGCTCCTTCTGGTGGAAGCGATATTCTCCCAATCTTAACACATCTTTATCCTCTAAAGACCTCAGATTGGTACACATGGTTCTCTGCCAGCTCATGTTTCCCTGTGAGGTAGGGTAAAGGTAAAGGTAAAGGGACCCCTGACCATTAGGTCCAGTCGTGACTGACTCTGGGGTTGCAGCGCACGGAAACGCCGTTTACCTTCCCGCCGGAGCGCTACCTATTTATCTACTTACACTTTGGCGGGCTTTCGAACTGCTAGGTTGGCAGGAGCAGGGACCGAGCAACGGGAGCTCACCCCGTCGCGGGGATTCGAACCACCGACCTTCTGATCGGCACGTCCTAGGCTCTGTGGTTTACCCACAGCGCCACCCGCATTAGGTGGGGCTAATGTCACCCAGCGAGCCTCATGGCCATGTGGGAACTTGCATAAGAACATAAGCAGAGCCAGAAGGAACATTTTAGCATATATGGTGGGAGTGTAAGAAAGTAAAGAACTTCTGGGAAATGATATATAACGAGATAAAAAAGATGTTGAAATATACCTTTTTTAAAAATCCAGAAGCATTTTTACTTGGTATTATAGGTCAGGATATTAATAGGCAAGATGTTAAACTGTTTTTATATGCAACAACAGCAGCAAGAGTATTGTTAGCCCAGAAATGGAAGCAAGAAGAAATTCCGATGAAAGAAGAATGGCAGACAAAATTAATGGACTATGCAGAACTGGACAAAATGACAGGAAGGATTTGAAACCTGTGGGAACAGAGATTTACAGAAGATTGGAAGAAGTATATGAACTATTTGAAGAGCAATTGTAATCAACCAATTACGCTAGTAGGATTACAAGAAGCTTTGTAAGGAGAAATATATGAAACGTTACAAATTAGATAAAGAATAGAGATATTGGTTATGAGTATTAAATGTAATAGGGGAAATAAGAAATGTATACTAAGAGATTAGATTGGAAAATTTTCAGACAGGATTGATGGAAGTCAAAAAATTGTATGAGATGTAAAAGTATGTTTAATTACTGTTGAAAATGGTATGTTAAAAAACTAATAAAAATTTATATATATAGATTAAAAAAAGAACATAAGCAGAGCCTGTTGGATCAGCCGAATGGACCGTCTAAGTCCAGCTTCCTGTCTCACAGGGGCCACCCAAATCCCTGTAGAAAACCAGCAAGCAGGATTTGACCACTAGGACCCTCTCCCCTCCTGTGGTTTCCAGCAACGGACATTCAGAAGCACTGCTGCCTCCAACTGTGGAGCCAGAGCCCGGCCGTAATGGCTAGTAGCTGTCAATGGCTTCCTCCTCCATGAGGACATCCAATCCCCTTTTAGAGCACTGCCATCCTTTGGACCTCCTCACCACTCAAAACTGGGACGGGCTGAATAGAGGGAGCTTAGTACCTTCCACCAAGTTGCTGGTCAGCATCGCACTCAGGTCGGCATCTGTGAACAGCCTGCTGCGGCTGGGCCTTCTCCGTCTCGGTGGCTGCGTGCTGGGCTTGGTTGCGGCATCTTCTAGAACGGAAAGGATACCTGCGTGCTGGAACGACTGATAGAAGGAGATCTATAGGGGGGAAATCAGCTGGAATAGTCAGAAAGGGGCCTTGGAACAAACAGCGCAAGGTGTACCCTTATGGAAAGAGCTAGGGGGAGCAGCCCTGGCTCATTCTGAAGAGACCTCCTGCCGCTCCCTCCAAATGCACCCTGCATTCGCCCCTTCTCTTCCGCCTGCTCCCATTGCACCCAGCCAAGGGCTTGGCTCTCGGGCACCCGAGGGAAGGAAGTGGTTGCTGCTGTTGTCTGCTGCTGATAAGAATGCTCAGGCGCTTCTTGGAATAACAGGTTTGGAATTGCCCAAGAAAGATGTCAAATTGTTTTTGTATGCCACAACTGCAGCAAGAATTTTGTTAGCTAAGAATTGGAAAACACAAGAAGTCCCTACAATGGAGGGATGGCAGATGAAGATGATGGGTTTTTTGGAGCTAGCTAACCTGACTGGAAGAGTCCGCGACCAGGAGGAGGAGGAGTACCAGGAGGAATGGATGAAATGCAAAGACTATTTAGTTAAATATGTTGTTGTTGTTGTTCTTGTCGTTTAGTCGTGTCCGCCTCTTCATGACCCCATGGACCAGAGCACGCCAGGCACTCCTGTCTTCTACTGCCTCCCGCAGTTTGGTCAAACTTTAAATATGTTAAGTTAATTTAATTGGAAAAGCTTGCAAATATCAGATAGACTTAGGATTTAAATATGTAATGTTAGGAATTAATATGTTTAATGCTAAAACAGAAAGAAAGAAAGACGTTAAGTGATTAAGTTAATTTTATGAGAAAATTTGATTTTGGAAAACTGTTAAAACGATATACACTGAAATTCAACTAGGGGGATACGAGGCAGTCACTTAACAATGTCACTAAGATTGGTTTAAATATGGTTGACATTTATGTTTGTTTAAATTTTTTTTGGAAAATCAAAAATTTTTATTTTTTTTTAAAAAATGCTCAGGACCTTTTACTGGTTCACGGGGGGGGGGGGCAATTTTCTTCAACTGACTAATGCTGTTGTTGTTTACTGCATTTATATCTCTTTTTTCCTTATTTAATCTCTGCAACAACTCTGTGACGTAGGCTGAGAGACGGTGACTGGCCCAAGGTTACCTCGAGAGGTTCATGGCCAAGTGGGAACCCTCATCTTTCAGATCAAACATAATAATAATAATAATAATAATAATAATAATAATAATAATAATTCTTTATACCCCGCCCTCCCCAGCCAACACCAGGCTCAGGGCGGCTAACACCAGGTATAAAAACAATTGATTGAAATACAACTTAAAAACAATATTAAAATACAACAGCAGCCTTATTTCAGTAGAAACTCAAATCAAAAACTTTTTGGGGATGAAAACGTCAAATCTTCACCAAGGCCAACTATCCAGACTGGGCCAGAAAAAAGCCAGGGAAGTCCCCAAATAGGAGTTCCCTCACAGAAGGAGAAAGGAAAAAGGAAAGAGGGGGAGGGGATCAAGTTGATTCCAAGCCAAAGGCTAGGTGGAACAACTCTGTCTTACAGGCTCTGAGGAAAGAAATCAGATCTCGCAGGGCCCTGGTCTCGTGAGACAGAGCGTTCCACCAGGCTGGAGCCAATGTTGAAAAGGCCCTGGCTCTGGTTGAGGCTAATCTAACTTCCTTAGGGACCTCTAGGGTGTTGCTATTTATGGACCTTAAGGTCCTCTGTGGGGCATACCAGGAGAGGTGGTCCCGTAGGTACCATTGCACCACACTGTCTCTCCGTTACAAGAAAAGAGATTCCAACTAAACATTCAGAATAACTTTCTGGTGGCAAGAGCTGTTCCACAGTGGAAGGTGGTGGACTTTCCTTCATTGGAGGTTTTTGAACAGAGGTTGGGCAGCCATCTAACAGGAATGCTTTTTTGTGTGATCCCTGCATTGCAGGGGGTTGGGCTGGATGACCACTGCAGTGCCCCTTCCAAGTCTGTAATTCTAACCAGACCGAGCTGTAACGTTTGAGGCAGCTTTGCTCGGCCGGAACTACAGCCGCCACTGGGGAACACACAAAGGTGGAGTCCGCAAGGCATTTACTTTACACAAGCGTATAGAGAGGCATCTCTCAGCCTTAGCTTTACACATGCGTAGAAATTAAGTACGTAAAGAGCAGTTACAGCCAGATAACTAAGCTACAGCCTTATCAGAGGAGCAGAAGTAACATCCTAGGCCAGAACTTCAGAAGAAACCAGGTCAATCCCTCTTCCTTCCTTATGAGGAACTCTTGAGGGAGTTGAATATGTTTAAGTTTGGAGAGAAGATGACTAAGAGGAGATATGCTAAAAAGGTAAAGGGACCCCTGACCATTAGGTGCAGTCGTGGCCAACTCTGGGGTTGTGGCGCTCATCTCGCTTTATTGGCTAAGGGAGCCGGCTTACAGGTTCCGGGTCATGTGGTCAGCATGACTAAACCGCTTCTGGCGAACCAGAGCAGCGCGCGCAAACGCTGTTTACCTTCCTGCCGGAGCGGTACCTATTTATCTACTTGCACTTTACCTGCTTTCAAACTGCTAGGTTGGCAGGAGCAGGGACCGAGCAAGGGGAGCTCACTCCATCGCGGGGAGTGAGGGCCAGGGCCTTTTCAGTGATGGCTCCGACCTGGTGGGATGCTCTGTCCCATGAGACTTTAGGATTTAACCTCCTTCTGTCAGGCCTATAAGACAGAGCTATTCCATCTGGCATTTAATTTGAATTCAGCCAGATCTTTTGTTTCCCTTCTCTTCCCTCCCCCTCCCCTTTTATGAAGATTACCCTCTCTGAGACCCCACAGCTAATTCTCCCCAGGCCTCCTCCTCACTGGCCCAAGTAGGACCAATTCAGCCAGCTAGCCCTGGGGATTATCTAATGCTTATTTCCCCTAAATTGATGTCTGACTTTTGAATTTTATTGTTATTCATGTTTTTATACTGTATTTTATGCTGCTTTTGCAATTAAGTGTTTTAAATTTGTTGTTAGCTGCCCTGAGCCCGGTTTTTGAACCGGGAAGGGTGGGGTATAAATAAAAATGTATTTTTATTATTATTATTATTATTATATTGTTAGCCTTTCTTCAGGTTGCAGAATATCCAGGTTTTTCTTTTTGTAAGCACTGCAGCAGCAGCAGTAGCAGCAGCAGCAGCAGGTCATCACAGATGTGGACCCCCCCTCTTTATTTGTTCCCTCAGAGCAGTGTGGGGCAGTGGGATTCGCTAGGGGGCAGAATGCTAAAAGGCAAGCAGGCAGCAGGAGGCACTGGAGGTATATCAGACTTTGCAAAGCTGGTATCACCAGATCAAGTTCATCAGTTCTGTTAAATTAATTCAGCTAAACCGTTCCAACTGGGTTTTGAATAAAGGTGCAGTTATTAATTGTTGCTGTTTAGAAATTTTCGTTGTAGTAATGATACATTGGGCTAAAGATATAGGGCATAATATACCAATAGACACAGGTGGCGCTGTGGGTTAAACCACAGAGCCTAGGACTTGCCGATCAGAAGGTCGGCGGTTCGAATCCCTGCGATGGGGTGAGCTCCCCATAGATAAATAGGTACCACTCTGGTGGGAAGGTAAACGGTGTTTCCATGCTCTGCTCTGGTTTCCCTGCTCCTGCGAACCTAGCAGTTCGAAAGCACGTCAAAGTGCAAGTAGATAAATAGGTACTGCTTTGGCGAGAAGGTAAATGGCGTTTCCGTTCGCTGCTCTGGTTCGCCAGAAGCGGCTTAGTCATGCTGGCCACCTGACTGTACGCCAGCTCCCTCGGCCAGTAAAGCAAGATGAGCGCCGCAACCCCAGAGTCGGCCACGACTGGACCTAAATGGTCAGGGGTCCTTTTACCTTTACCTATACCAATAGACAATTGGGGGAGGTTATGGAGAGAAGGAATAAACTTTACTGCCTGCAGTGCATTAAAAGAAAATATAATGAAAATGGTGTACAGATGGTATATAACACTGGTGAAACTAGCCAAGATGTATAAAACAAATACGGTAATACATGTTGGAAATGTAAAGAAAAAGAGGGCACGTTTCACCGCGTGTGGTGGGAATGTAAAAAAGTGGTCAGGTGCGTCTTATGGAGCGGAAAAATTCGGTAATTGGAAAGGAATTCAGAAAACCATTAGAAGAGGTTGATGGAAGTCCTAGGCTACGACAGCCAAGGATTTGTCATCTTGTGTTGGAAAAATTGTGTAAAATTCAATAAAAAATATATTGAAAAGAAAAGAAAATTTCATTGTGTTATCTTCATTGACAGCTCATTCACGCCGCTATTCTGAACAGTGTTTTTCATAGGGGAGGGTAGAGGGAGGAAGAGCAGGAGGCCTGGGGGCCTGGCGGAAAAGATCTGGGGCTGTGTCCCTCCCCAACAAGGGCACTGAGCCTAACTGTGGCACTGTGCTTAAATGCCAGGTGAAAAACACCTTGGCCTACGGCTCTCTGCCTGGAAGGGCGAATTCCTGGGCTGAGCCCCAAGCCTCCCCTGCCCTCTGGGTACTATTGAAGCCACTCTGATAGCCTTGCAAGCCACCCTTCTTCCCAAGTGGGAGCTGAATAAGGGGGTGAGCTGGGTTATGGGGTTTTCCCTTCCCACCCGCCAAAATGCTGAAGGTTTCTTACCTCGTTACCGAATGAGAACTCCATCTCCATCTCTTCCTCACTAGAAGGGAAGGGGGACGGGGAAGGAGGTGAAGAAGAGAGTTTAGATTCTGAACAGCAGCAAGAATACTTATTGCAAAGCATTGGAAGACACAAGATCTACCCACACTGGAGGAATGGCAGATGAAAATGATGGACTACATGGAATTGGCGGAAATGACTGGCAGAATCCGAGACTAGGGAGAAGAGTCGGTGGAAGAAGATTGGAAGAAATTTAAAGACTACTTACAGAAATATTGTAAAATTAATGAATGTTAGAATGATGTCGGATTGAAGTTAAGTGGTTTCTAGCTGTAATGGTATAAAAGAATATGGAAAAATTGGTTTTTAATACGTAAAAATTTAATGTTATAATATATTAAGATTAAAGATCAGGATTAAAAAGGAGGGAAAGGAATTGCTGGACTAACAAATTGAATTGGAATACAAAAGAGGGAGGTATGAGGAGGTCCGGGAAACAAGTAAATGTAAGAGAAGTGATGAAAAGATGGAATTGTTTTTAACTGTTTTTTCTTTTTTGTACCTTGTATTTTTCCTTTTTATTGTTAATTTTCTTATTAATGTAATCTTTTTCTTTTGAAATTTTAATAAATATCATATCTTGTTTTCCTCCTCCAAAAACTAGGTGCGTCTTGTGGTCAGGTGCGTCTTATAGAGCGAAAAATACGGTACAAATGAAGATTGGCAGAGGGAGGCAGGAACTGTCTCAGGTGACAACTGCTGGAAAGCAATAATAATAATAATTTTTTACTTATATCCTGCCCTCCCCAGCCAAAGCCGGGCTCAGAGCGGCTAACAACAAGCAAGGAAGGCTGTTCCTCCAGGCCAAGAGATTTAGTTGCTTAAGGCAAAGGACAATATGGAGTCTGGCACCTGCATGGCATTCATAGCTGCTCGGCCCCCCAGCATCTTCTGCCTCTGCTCCGCACTGTTTCCTTGGGGGTATGAGCTGTGGGTACCTGGACTGAGTCTCTGTCATAAGCCCCTGGCCCTCAAGGTTGCTGGCATGGAGGCAAGATTCAGCTGCTGGTAGATTTGGCTTCTGTGTAAGAACATCAGAAGCGTCTGCTGGATCAGGCCAATGGTCCATTTGGTACAGCATTCTGTTCTTACCGTGGCCAACCAGGTGCCCATTATAATAATAATATAATTATTTATTATTTATACCCCGCCCATCTGGCTGGGCTTCCCCAGCCACTCTGGGCGGCTTTCAACAAAATATTAAAATACAGTGGTACCTCCTTCGTTCTGGAGGTCTGTTCTTAACCTGAAACTGTTCTAAATCTGAAGCACCACTTTAGCTAATGCGGCCTCCTGCTGCCGCTGCGCCGCTACAGCACGATTCTTGTTCTCATCCTGAAGCAAAGTTCTTAACCCAAGGTACTAATTCTGGGTTAGCAGAGTCTGTAACCTGAAGCGTATGTAACCCGAGGTACCACTGTACAGTAATGCATCAAACATTAAAAGCTTCCCTAAAGAGGGCTGCCTTCAGATGTCTTCTAAAAGTCTGGTAGTTGTTGTTCTCTTTGACATCTGGTGGGAGGGCGTTCCACAGGGTGGGTGCCACTACCGAGAAGGCCCTCTGCCTGGTTCCCTGTAACTTGGCTTCTCGTAGTGAGGGATCCACCAGAAGGCCCTCGGTGCTGGACCTCAGCGTCTGGGCAGAATGATGGGGGTGGAGACGCTCCTTCAGATATACTGGACCGAGGCCGTTTAGGGCTTTAAAGGTCAGCACCAATACTTTGAATTGTGCTCAGAAACGTACTGGGAGCCAGTGTAGGTCTTTCAAGACGGGTGTTATGTGGTCTCGGCGGCCTCTCCCAGTCACCAGTCTAGTTGCTGCATTCTGGATTAGTTGTAGTTCCAATTATGGGATTAGTTGTAGTTCCCTTTAGGGGAAACCTGCTAGCAGGTTTGGAGCGCAAGAGTCCTCTCCGGTCCCCCAGTTTGCCAGCAACTGGCATCCGGGAGCATTGCTGCCTTCAACTGGGAACGCAGAGCGCAGCCTCTGGCAACGGCTAGTAGCCATTGACAACCTACTCCTCTTTTACAGCCACCCAAGTTGCATGCAAAGCTGTGGTGTTTGTGAGCATCTTGTGCTCTGTTCCAGGCAGCAAGTAGGTCAGTCCTGAGAAGGGCCCTGCTGAGGAGCAATGATGAGGTTCATGGACTGGGGGGGCGGGGGGCGCTCCATGACTTCCTATGGGGCCACCCATCACACCCCACCACAGAAAACCCTGCTTCTGCCTCTGCATAAGCAGGTACCAGGAGTGCAGATGACCCAGCAAGGAAAGCGGGGAAGATTCTCACCTGATGTCTCTCAGCAGCACATCTGGGACTCTGGCCATGGTTGCGTCTGGAAAGGGAAAAGTGCAAGGGTGAGCCCCACCAGCCACAGCCCCCCCCCCCGTGAATAGAGTGGCCATGTGCCCCCTTTTTCCAGGACACATCCTCTTTTTCAGGGGTAAAATTTCTGTCCAGGTGGATTTTTAAAATTTGCTGAAATGTCTCTGGCTATAACGTATTTTTCGCTCTGTAGGACGCACTTTTCCCCCTCCAAAAATTAAGGTGAAATGTGTGTGCATCCTATAGAGCGAATGCAGGCTGCGCGGCTAAGCCCAAAGCCAGAACAGGGAGACAGAGCGCTGCAGAGCGCTCCATCTCGCTGTTCTAGCTTGGGGATGGCTGCACACAAAGCCTCTGCAGTGCCAGGGGCGTAGCGTGGGTTGTCAGGACCCGGGGCAAGGCAAGTAATTTGCACCCCCTAACCCGTGGATTTGCGCCCCCTAACCCTAACCCCCAGATGTTGCGCCCAGTGCGGCCGGCCCCCCCTGCACCCCCCACGCTACGCCACTGTGCAGGGCAACAGGGTGCCTTCACCCCGCTGCCCTGCAGAGGCTAGAAAGGCTGTTCCCAAGCCAGAACAGCGATACGGAGGGTTCCGTCTCGCTCTTCTAGCTTGGGGATGGCTGTGCAAAGCTATCCCTGAAGCCTTTGGAGCGCAGTGGGACCTCGCGCTGCGCTCCAAAGGCTTCAGGGATCTTTGAGGCTGGTGGTGGGGGAAAGCAGTGCTCCCCCACAAGCTCGGGGGGCAGCGGCAAGGCTGCGCACAGCCTTTTCGCTGTTCCCCGACCTGCTCTTTGGGGCTGGCGGTGGGGGAAAGCAGCGCTCCCCCCCGCCAGCCCTAAAGAGCAGGTCGAAAGGAACCTGAAGCCAAGCCTCCGGAGCCCAGCGGGAACTCCCTGCGTGCTCCAGAGGCTTCGGGTTGCCTTCATTGAAGCCTGGAGAACGAGAGGGGTCAGTGTGCACCGACCCCTCTCGCTCTCCAGGCTTCCAAGGTAGCCGCCTGAAGCCTCCAGAGCGCAGCGGGAACTCCCGCTGCGCTCCGGAGGCTTTGGGTGAATGCACCTTGAACGCACCTTGTTTTAGAGGGGGAGAACAAGAAAAAATCCCCCCCCCCCGTTCTCCCCCTCCTATGGTCCGGTGCGTCCTATAGAGCGAAAAATACGGTACTTTCTGGTTGAGACATAGACATAACTGGTGGTTGAAGGCTTGCTTTCCTCTTCTCTCCTCCTGCCCCCCCCCATAGAAATATACTACAGCTTCTATAGCCTACATAAAGGTAAAGGGACGCCTGACAGTTAGGTAACGTCGCGGACGACTCTGGGGTTGCGGCGCTCATCTTGCTTTACTGGCCGAGGGAGCCGGCGTACAGCTTCCGGGTCATGTGGCCATCATGACTAAGCCGCTTCTGGCGAACCAGAGCAGCGCACGGAAACGCTGTTTACCTTCCCACTGGAGCGGTACCTATTTATCTACTTGCACTTTGACATGCTTTCAAACTGCTAGGTTGGCAGGAGCTGGGACCAAGCAACGGGAGCTCACTCCATCGCGGGGATTCGAACCACCGACCTTCTGATCAGCAAGCCCTAGGCTCTGTGCTTTAGACCACAGCACCACCCGCGTCCCTTTTATAGCCTACATAGAGCAGGGGTATTTAAAATGAGAGTCATCATAGCGTCCTCCTTTTTGCTCTTCAAAATATGGCAACTCATGCTAGCTGGGCCTTAGACATACCACAGCTCAGGGCCAGAAAAATTGTTTTGTTGCTGGAAGTTGTTGTTCACGACCCAGTGAAAAACAAATCCTTAGATAGATTAATAAAACCAAAAATCTAGTAAGTATTTTCCAATGATTTATTGGTAAACATAGATCCTATATTCTAGTGCAGGGGTCAGCAAACTTTTTCAGCAGGAGGCCGGTCCACCATCCCTCAGACCTTGTGGGGAGCCAGACTATATTTTGAAGAAAAAAATGAACGAATTCCTATGCCCCCACAAATAACCCATAGATGCATTTTAAATAAAAGCACACATTCTACTCATGTAAAAACACCAGGCAGGCCCCGCAAATAACCCAGAGATGCATTTTAAATAAAAGGACACATTCTACTCATGTAAAAACACCAGGCAGGCCCCGCAAATAACCCAGAGACGCATTTTAAATAAAAGGACACATTCCACTCATGTAAAAACATGCTGAATCCCTCATCATCTGTGGGCCGGATTGAGAAGGCGATTGGGCTGCATCTGGCCCACGGGCGTTAGGTTGCCTGCCCCTGCCTTAGACCCTTATTTATTTCATTTATATATCCCACCTTTTTCTCAAATGAGCTCAAGGTGGCGTACATGGTTCATCCCTCCTCCTCATTTAATCCCCACAACAATCTTGTAAGGTAGGCTGGGTTGAGAGGTAGCGGCTGGCCCAAATTCACCACCCAGCAAGCGTCATTCGTGGCTGTGTGGAAGGATTTGAACCCAGCTCCCATTCCGTCACACTAACCCAGACCTTTCCAAACTTTTCATATTGGTGACACACTTTTTTAGACATGCATCATTTCGCGACGCAGTAATTGAGTTTTCCTAGCAAACCTGAGGTTAAATAAACCTCTTTCCAGCCCTGGCAGGAGCACGGGGAGCGTTTGCGTGACACGCCAACACCTGCTCTAACCACTACACCATTTTGCCTCTTGAGCTGCAACCTGCCAGTATCTGAAAGACATGACCATTCCCTGGAAGCTTCTCTTGGCAACCCCAATTGGCAGGGGGCAAGCTCTGGCAATCTGGGTGGAAGGGGCTGCAGGGTGGAGGGGAAGGAGCTTCAGGATTTGGCTGCAAAGGTGAGCTTGGGTATCCTCTCCAAAGGAAGTCTCCCCATCCATCATCTCCTCAGCAGAGCCACCGAGAGAGGAGGATGCCTGTGACCAGGAACCAGGTGGGAGGGGAATCTATGGAGGCCTCCTTACCTGCGCTTCTCAATCCAAGGCTGCTTGCTCCTCTTCTGCTTTGGTTCTCACTCCAGAAGCCTCTGTCCAAATTTATAGCATGGAGAAGGTGGGGCTTGAGTGTGGAATTTCCACCTCTGCCTTTTCTACGAACCTGCTGTCAAGCTCGGATTGTGCAATCTACTTTTGCTTGCCTGCAAGGCTGGAAAGTCTTTTGCGTGGGGTGGAGAACTATCTTAGCTCCACCCATGAGAAAGACCAGCTCCTTCCTTCCAGGGATCAGATCTTGGACAGTTTGTGGCCTCTGGCCTGGTTTCTGTAAAATACAGACCATCTGGCTGAACATTTGATCCAAGATACAGAATCTGTCCCCCAAGCCAAGCTTTTCTCTGCTTCTCAAGAGCACAAGCCCAGAATTATTATTCTGTTTTTCCCCCCGCAAACACTTTATGCCAAATGTATGCTTTCAGTTTTTAGCTCCATAGGTATCAAGGCTGCAAATGCTGGGATAGAGCAGATATTCTGGAGATGTCCCCAAATCAGAAACTTCTGGGAAGATATTGCAGTGGAAATTGAAGGAATAACTGGCTATACCTATGGATCTTCTTTCTTAAGGAAATCAGCCCTGAGTGCTCACTGGAAGGACAGATTGTGAAGCTGAGACTCCAATACTTTGGCCACCTCATGAGAAGAGAAGACTCCCTGGAAAAGACTATGATGCTGGGAAAGACGGAGGGCACAAGGAGAAGGGGATGACAGAGGACGAGATGGTTGGACAGTGTTCTCGAAGCTACCAGCATGAGTTTGACCAAACTGTGGGAGGCAGTGGAAGACAGGAGTGGTCCATGGGGTCACGAAGAGTCGGACATGACTAAACAACTAAACAACAAAATGGATTTTACAATTTGGATATGTTAAAGAAACTGTGCTAATAGAGGACAGGGAATTAATGCAACATCTTCGACCCCATTATTCTATGAACTCTTAACTGCTGCCAGAGTTATTATTTGTCAAAACTGGGGGGCGGTAATGAGGACACTGTCCACGAAAGAATGGAGAACAAAAATGTGGGACTCTGTATGCATGGTTAAGCTTGCATACATGGTGAGAAACAGAGAACGCAGGCAACGAGATAATGCCCTTATTGAGAAATAGGTCTTTTTATAATTTCCTGGAATAATAAGGTACAGGATAGTGTAAACACAATTGTATTACTTGCAGCCTTGTGATATTAATTAATTAATTAACTATGTTTGACATTGGTGTGGAATTTTTTTCCTTTGTGTTTGGTTCTAGATATCCCCTTCTATTTCATTGAAAGGGCATCTCCTTCATGCCTCCCATTTCACAGCTTGGAGAACTGAGGCTGGGGGCTTTCTTTATTATTTATCACGGAACATAGTTTACTTCTGAGTGAACAGTTACAGGATGACGCAGCTCAACAGCTGTTACATATTTGGGCACAAGGAAAAGCCAGTGCAGTGGTTAAAAGCAGGGGTAGGCAACCTAAGGCCCCAGGGGCCAGATACGGCCCAATCGCCTTCTCAATCCGGCCCGCGGACGATCCGGGAATTAGTGTGTTTTTACATGAGTAGAATGTGTGCTTTTATTTCAAATGCACCTCTGGGTTATTTGTGGGGCATAGGAATTCGTTCATTCCCCCCCCCCAAAAAAAATATAGTCCGGCCCACCACATGGTCTGAGGGACGGTGGACCGGCCCCCTGCTGAAAAAGATTGCTGACTCCTGGGTTAAAGCGTCAGATTAGGACCTGGGAGACCAGGATTCGAGTCCCCACTTGGCCATGGAGCTCACTGGATGACCTTGGGCCAGCCACAGTCTCTCAGCCTAGCCTATCTCACAGGGTTGCTGCGAGGATAAAATGGTGAGGAGGAGAACAAAGGTGGGATAGAAGTGCAATGAAGAAATGAATAAGCTCTGTATTTGGGCTAATAGCACGAAGTGCTAGATGCAAGCACAGAGTCTGAGGTCAGGATCCTTCCAAAGTTCAAGGGCAAGGGAAGAGCTGCAGGACTCAGCAGAAGCAATGACGACATCCCAACGGCTGCCATGCTTCCTCATTCGGGGCCATCTGATTGACCACTGTGGATACAGGATGCTGGACTTGACGGGTCTCTTTTTATGTTCTTATTTTGGCCATACGAAGCAAAATTCCAGCATAAGCATCTAGCACTTCCTGTGACTCACTTCCTTGTTATTTTGTGTTGTCAGACGCTCCCTTGGACACCCCATTGGGTTTTTCTATCTTTTAGATCTATCTAAGAAAACAGTAGTTTAGTTCCTTGTTTGAAAAAAGGCGGGGGGAAGGCATGGAAAAAGCAATTATTTAAAAAGCAAGAAAGACAACATATTGTTCCAAGGTTAGAATTGAAAACCCACAAAAATATTTTTCATTATGGTGGGAAACATGAAAGAAACTCAGGGATTCTTAGTAAGTTTTGATTCTAAATGATAAAAATTCATGTGTCCAGGTTTAATATTGTTATGAGTTTGTGGGTGCCAGTGTTTGTGGGTGCAAGACACCCATCATTCCCGGACTTAGTAAATGTTAGAATTTAATCAGTGCTTGGAGAGTTAAACTGGAAGTCAGACTTTCATCTCCCTGTGTTCAAAAGATCTCTTGAAAGTTGGGCTATTAGTAGGGGGGAAAGACAGAAAGTTGGGCTATCAGCAAATCAAAGACTCTGTGCCAACCTGCAAACAGTTTTGGGGGGGGAAGAGCCCCTCCCTGAACTCAGAGTTTTTGTTAGCTAGAAGTTTTAGGATTTCAGTTGGCTGTGGCATGATCAAGGAAAATAGGTGTCAGTCTATCAAATGCAGCAAACTGGAGGAGTGGTGGTGAAAGGTCAATTTGGGCTGACAGTTTGAATCCAATGGGAAAAATGGGACCCTCTTGGAGTGTAGAAGAAGAAGAAGAGTTTGGATTTGATATCCCGCTTTATCACTACCCGAAGGAGTCTCAAAGCGGCTAACATTCTCCTTTCCCTTCCTCCCCCACAACAAACAGTCTGTGAGGTGAGTGGGGCTGAGAGACTTCAGAGAAGTGTGACTAGCCCAAGGTCACCCAGCAGCTGCATGTGGAGGAGTGGAGACGCAAACCCGGTTCCCCAGATTACAAATCTACCGCTCTTAACCACTACACCACAATGCCTTGAACCCCCTCCTCGGCAGGCTCAGGTTGCATATATGTGCAAATAAACCATCTATCATAAAGACACCACAATCTCAGCTGTGCCTCATTTCCAAAGGAAACATAGACCCTGTGTAAGCCCCTGGATTCCTGGAAACATGCACCGCTCAGAAAGTGGGGTGGTGGCATGTAACAATATCTTAGTTTTCCAGAGGATGTTTTCAGTCTGCTGTGACGGCCAACTCACACCCACAAGGATATTGACAAACTGCAGAGGAGGGCAACCAGGATGGTCAAGGGTCTGGAAACCCTAGAGGGAGTTGGGTATTTTTAGCCTGGAGATGAGAAGACAGAGGTGACACGTTAGCCATCTTCAATAACTAAAGCGCTGTCACACAGAAGATGGAGCAATACAGTGGTACCTCGGGTTACAGACGCCTCAGGTTACAGACTCCGCTAACCCAGAAATAGTACCCTGGGTGAAGAACTTTGCTTCAGGATGAGAACAGAAATCGTGCAGCGGCAGTGGGAGGCCCCATTAGCTAAAGTGGTGCTTCAGGTTAAGAACAGTTTCTGGTTAAGAACAGACCTCCGGAATGAATTAAGTTCGTAACCTGAGGTATTCTTTTCTGCTGCTCCAGAGGGTAGAACCCAAACCCAATGGCTTCAAATGACAAGAAATGAGATTGCAACCAAACCATTAGAAAGAACATTCTGGCGGCAAAAGATGTTCAACAACCTCAAAATGTGGTGGACTCTCCTTCATTGCAGGTTTGTAATCAGAGGTTTGAGGGCCCTTGGTGGCCAGGGATTCTTCAGCTGCGATTCCTGCATTGGAGGGGGTTGGACTAGATGATCCCTTGGGTTCCCTTTCAACTCTGCAACTCTGTGATTCCTTCATTTGAATTGCAAATAAATCCCCAAGGCTCCACCCAGTGGCATGTGGCTCCCTGCGCAGACCTTCCCTCGGGGGAACTTCCATATCTTATGTCATCATCAGGAAACTGAAAACCACAATTTCCACTGCGAGCAATAACCAAACTAGCTATAACTGTCCTGATTTATAAGACATCCTGGGTGCTTCTGGGTATCACCCCAATGAGGCTCGTAGCTCTGCCACTTTGTGGTTTTTTTAAAAAAAACTTTATTGCAAAACAATTTACATATAACAACACAAAGACAATACCTTAATGACAACTAAACATTAACTAACAACACATCGTCTAACATCGCACACACTTTTGACTTCTGATTCACCTCATTGTGCTTTCTACATATTCTTAACCTTTATGCATTTCCTGTTATATCTGTTACATATCCAGAAAATTTTCTACATTTATAGTTTTTCTTAATATTCAAGATTCAGTCTAGACCTGTCAGGAGATTTGCATTTTCACAATATTGTTTTAGATATTTTTTTAATGTTATCCATTCTTTACACACTTTCTGGTTTGAGTTTCCTCTTATTCTTCCAGTCGTTTTCGCAAGTTCCAAGTGTTCTATCATCTTCATCTGCCAGTCAAGCTTTGTAGGAATTGAGTCTTTGTAGAAATTGTAGGAATTTCCAGTTTTTTGCTACTAAAATTCTCTGCATTTCTTTTGACAGGGAAAGAGCTTCCACGTGAGAGCGTCAAAATATGATTTTGAGATAAAAATAACTATATCTCTTATTTAGAAATTAAGCCATACTGCATGCCATAAGTTTATGAATTTATGTATTTATTACATCTACACATCTATTGCCAAAAAACTAAAACACCAAAGCTCTTCAAATGTGCGGGACACTTAATTCCATTTGCATGCAGTTTTACTCCCTCCAAAAATTAATTTAACTTTCCCCTTGAAATTAAAAGGATTCTAACCTACAGACAAACAATGATTATTTTATTTTAGCCAGAGTGTAAGCCTACTGGATCAGGCCAAAGGCTCAGTTGCGCTCCCTGCAGCAATCAGCTGATCGCTGCTGAACATGTTTCTTCAAAGGAGGTTGCTGCAATCGCTGATCAGCTGATTGACAGTTGCAGCAACCTTCTTTGAACTT